GATAAGAATATTCTATTTCAATGCGATCGCAGTCTCACTTAGCCATAAGGCTCAACCGTGTCTATGGGCTGCGCCGTACCGATAGCTTACGCGCGCATTGAAATCTCCAGAGCGATTAGAATAACGGAAGGCAATAGACGAGGTGTGTGTTGCTCTATAGCGGTTCACTTTTACTAATGCGACCGACTTTAGACGCCGTTTCCCTGCCAATCTAACGGGTGTAGATCTACTGAACATTCCTTCTACTAATTAACCCTTCGTTAACACGTACTAGCATACCTACACCGAACATTCTTGATCGCCTTTCAAGAATGTTTCAAGAACAAGAGTGGAAGAGGAGGCTAATTCTCAGAAGCAAAGCGTTCAATGTATTTGAAAAAGAAACTTCCCAGACGCAATTCAAGATTTACTACTCTTCCCTCTTAATAAGAAATTTCTGAATTTCTTCAAGAATCATATTAAACATCCTCGAACAATTTGTCTGTAAATTAATAAGACCTCTCACTTGCCGTATATTTTATAAAGAACTTTGATATCAAATATCCTGGCGACAGTATTTAATATGTAAAGTATGCATAATATTTCATTTGCGTAAATGTCCAAACTGTCATGTATGAAGGCCGACCATTCTAGGATTCGGAGCAAACTCGTGGAACGTGCACGATTCGATGCACAGGCCCCGAGGAAATCGTAGAAAGAATCCGAATGGTATTCCTCGAAGCACCCATGGGTTCGAGGTGCACGTCATTCAACGCTGCTTTCGCATGAGTTTCATGCGTCGGCCTCTGCCATCAATAGTCATGCCGGTGTATTGCAAGCTACGACCCGCTGGCTATCTAAAGGCACAAGGTCTACGTGATGGAAAAGCGGATATTCCGTGTCGGAAGTTCCCGTTGCTCCCGATGCGCGTACCTGAAAGAATTTTTTCTAGTTTCTCCTGAGGCATTCGCGCTGTAGTTATGAATATAATCCACCTTTGTTCGCGTTACGTTTGGCCACTGCCAAGGCAATTAAAGCGTCGCCGCTAATTAAAGTGAAGAGGAAACGTAATTAATTGTTTCTCATGGATCCTCTTCGAAAGGTAATCAAGATGAGATCTTCTTATACTATTTTGCAACGACACATTTTTCATCCGGATTTCGCTTTGCGTTTGTTTATTTTTAGAAGCATCTTCCAAGCATCCTATTTCTTTCTGCATCTTTATTTCTTTTAACCCTCGAACCACCGAGGACTAAAGTATAAAAATTGAGTCAAAGAAATTAGAATACAAGGGATAGGAAAATATTTATAATACGATAATGAACACGAACTTTTATTCATATATTTTACGAAAAACCACTAGAACTTCTGAAAAAAAACATTGTAACATTGTAAATCCGCAAAATTATCATCTAAAAAATTATAAATTGGTCGTTTTGACCGCTTTGATAGTTCTAGTGTTAATGTGAGTAAATATTTATTTGTTGATGTTTATGATTTTGTATATCAATACATACCAATCTGCGACAAAAGTGTCTTATTAAAAAATAAGAAAGTGATTCGCTCGAATAGAATCGACTGGCGTCGCCCAGTTTCGCCACAAAAGTTCGCGTAATGCCGAACAATAACATCGACAGACGAATTTCTCGGCTGTACAATAGCCTGGCATTTAACCAGGAGATCGCACGTGAGCATAAAGCTCGAGGCCCCGTGAGAGAGACCTCCCGTAACAGGTCACTGCCATCGAGAGAAGCGGGCAGGTTCGTAAGTTCCAGGTCTCTTTATGGGAGAGGGGGCACTCCACTTTTGTTCCATGTACGTGTCCATGATACACAGACAATCTCCGTCAGGTTACTTCTTTTAATCCGTAAATCTATTTCTCTCACGGCCCGCGACGAGCCGTACCTACGTGTTGCAACTTTAAACGCCAAAGTATCCTCCAACTGTGAGAAAACGACATTCGATCAACATTTCTTTGTTTCTTATAGAGAGTTCAGCGTTACTTTACAAGTAAGCTCTTTATCGGTGTTTGCAAGTGTTATTATTTTATTATTTCCAAGTGAATGCAATTTCACTGCAACTTGCGTAAAGTGTCATTTAATGCAAACGTTCGCGTCATTTATGAATTTTATATTATTATTATATATTATATTATTATTTTATATATTATATATATTATATATATATTATATATATTATATATTTTATATATTATATATATTATATATATTACTATTTTATATATTATATATTATATATATATATATATTATATTATTATTTTATATATTATATTATTTGTGATCTTTGTCTTGCTGCCGAAATTTTATTAATCGTAAGATTAATTATCAATCTGAATCAACTCTTGACCTTTTGACTTGATTTGAAATAAATTTGAAAGATCAACGACGAAGAGGTTACAGTTCAAAAAGGGTATCTGTTTGCATTTTTGGATGGCACAGATCTTTTAAAATACAGAGAGTTTTCTTTTTGCGTTTTGAGGTAAACAAAGATGCCCGCGGAGTTGACTCGTCACTTTTCCCTCAAGCTCCCTCGGAGTCAAGGTTTCGTTTCTTTTCTCGCATTCCATCCAAACACGCGGTTATCCTCGCTCGTTTCTCAAGGCCAAGGTGTGACTCCGTTCAGAATGCGTCACCGCTCTCTGGCAACGGTAATCAAACTTCTGAATTCCATCAGACGCGCGAATTTCATTGCCCAATTACGGATCTGCAATTACTGCACGATACCGTTCCCCACGTTTCTGCTATAACGGTCTGGCTCGCGATTCCCTCAAACATTCTGTTCGATTTCTGGTCTTCATCATCGAAAACACGTCTGAAACATACTTTTCAAGAAACGTGTTTTACGAACTTTTAACCTTTATATCCTCTTCAATTTTAGGAGATGGAATATTAAAAAAAAAGAAGGTAAACGGTACTATTCAACGCATGGTTATTTTTGAAATAAGAAAGATTTCAAGCTGCTGATACTTTCTTTATTTTCATAGAGATTCTATTAACTCATTTGTAACTCATTTCTAGGAAGGTAAGAAAATAAAGAACCTCAGGGAAGGAGCTTGACAGAGCTGAGCTCTCCCTCATACTTTGCTTCGAGTTTGCGGTATATTTTATGTAACAGCTGGTTGAAACTTGCGAAATTCCATCGAGAAACAAGGAAAACCACGACGTATTAGAAATCGGGGGTAAATGGATCTGGCTTCTGCGGTGGGCACGGCTGCTCCCGTGCAACTCGGTGGTTAGCTTCGAATCACGATTATTACGAACGCTATACTTCTCCGTAAACCTTTCTAAACTCTTAGCTGATAAACTAACGCTTCATCAAAATCATTCAGGAACATCGTCCGCAATAGTTGTGAAAATTGGCAAAAATTCGAATTCTTTCGATCTCCAAAATAAGAGTAAGAAATTTTCTGTAATTTCGGGAAAATTTCTAATTTTTCCACGCGACATGGAAGAGATTCAGCGATCGAATTGTCGCTGAGAAAAAAAAAAAAAAATAGAGCGGCGGACGAGCCAGAGATCTACTCGTGCCTCTAGCACGAAAGACTTTCTATTCATTTATTATTCGTACAATAACTATAGACAGTGAAACAATGCAAACCGGCCACTTCCTGCTCCGTTAACCATGAAAGCAATTTAATGAGCTACCGTAAGTACGTGATCCGGCTGGTGGACGTATGCCAGCCGCTTATCAGAAAAATTTTTCGTACCGTCTCGAAACGATGCTAATGAATTGCAACGCACACGAAGAAATCGACAGCCAATGTATACACGAGTAAATTAATGACGGTGTATCGTTAAACGCGAATCTTGGCGCATCTCGTTACACGGGGGGGGGGGGTCAGACCTTTTTAAGTAGGATATTTTATTTTATTGCAATTATTTTTGATATTTTTATGCAATCCGAGGATCGTGGAATATTTAAATTAAGCGGAAAAGGAATCGCGATTATTTCTACATATAATCTGACAGAAAGTAGAGTCGCGGTTATTTTTGGAATTAAATATGACTGTGAGAAAAAAAGAAATCGAAATTATTTTTGGAATGTTACATAATTTCAGAGGAAGAGGAATTTTAAGTGGAATCAGCTGAAGCTGGCGAAGATTTTAAGCGATCACATTAAACCCGTATTCGCAGAGAAATTCGAGGAATTCACCTCGAGGATCGTTGTTTCAGAGCAAACATTAAGACGAGAATGGTATAAATAGCGGCAATAAAAAAAAGAGCATTACCGGAAGCGTCAGAGGAGAAAATCGCACGTGCATTTTCTGTACCCAAACCGCTTTTTGTAATTCGCTGGATCATAAAACACATTACCTACTTCGCGTGCAAATTGAGCGCTGCGAGATTAAAACACGTAGCAGGAAATACTTTTTAATCGAGACAATCAGCCTGGTTATGAATGAAAATCTGCAAATCAAAAAATCAACGAGACTCAATCGCAGCATTTTACATCTACAAATTATAATATGCACCTATCCATACGACCAGTCGCCATGAAACATTTATTTCACGATCTTCTGAGATTTATTTATGAATATTTTTCTCTCGAATACGTTGTCCCATGAATTATTTAACAAACCCTTCGCCATTCTTGTAAACCACATTCACGTTCACTTTCAAACCAAAGCGAAATCTCCTATTAACAAAGAAACTCTTGCTAAAAGACTTTTTTATCTCTAAAACGTCATTAATCTAATAAATATTTATCTTCAATTACCGTAATTTAGAGAATGCATATCTTCACGAATTACACTCGCATGCCTGTGTTTACTTTCAAACAGAAAGGAAAACACGGAAACTAGCCTATTCTTAAAACATCTGTAAATTAAAAAATTAGAAAACTATATAAATTCATTTAGAAAATTACTCAATTTTCTTTTTAAATCTAAGGAATTAAAGAAACTCTTAAAAAGTCGCAAATGTGCGAAATATCTTGTCAAAATGGAGGCGACAAATTGACCCAAAGGATGCACAAAAGGGGTAAAAAAAGAAAAGAATCTTTATTTGTTATTAACCGTTATTATTGTTGCTGTTACTGTCAATGTTACTGCTTGTTACTTGTTCCTATCATTATCGTTAGTCTGGCATCCGGCGCGGATAACAATATAACTCACGAAAGAAGTCGAAAGGTCAACAGGCGACCCACGACTTCGAGGATCCTGTCACAACGTACGGCACGGGTGCAAGAGAGAATAATAAATGCTCGATCTCGGTTCGTCTCAACTGTTCAGGGATGTCGACGTTGTCTGATAAAAATAAATCCACGACCCCGTTGACTCTATGTATAAAAGTGGGGCAAACGAAACCATCGAAATGAAAAGGACACGAGACTTGTAGCTTATAATATAATCTCTGGATAGTGAAATTTATTTCCTCTTCTCTTTTGACGTAATATAGAGTTAAATGAAAGAGATACAATATGGCAGTGAACACTATCACAGCTTATGATTTATATGTATGGTGTATCATGTTTAGAATTTTAATTAATCCTTTCACGCTGAATATCGTAACATCGAACAATATACTTTGATAAATTACTAACGACAAAACTATTTGCGTCGAGTAAAATTAATTTCCGATGCAATGTCTTTTTCACAAAATCATCTCCCAGGGAGCGTGCATATTTCCAATAAAATTTCAATGAGTAAAACTTATGAATACAATTTATTGTATAGATCGGATTGCAATGCAAAGAGATTCAATCCTGAAAAGATTAATTAATTAAATAAACCTAGAAGATATTGCTATTTAAAAACAGTAGCGTAAAAAATATAACTTGTATCTTTGAACCATAATTTATAAAAGAAATTCTCAACAAAGAAAAAAAAAACCCTGCGAATCATCGTCATGAGGTTTCTATTTGCTCCCTGTGATTACCAAGCTTAACGTCCTCAGACGCTGAACAACCGCTTGGAGACGCGTGAATGATACGATAACGATACGATCGATTAATTAAATAATTTATTAGTTAACAACGAGCAGCTCAGTAGGGATGAAGGGCCGCTAGACCGAGTCGAGGCGGCTCCGCGTAGCTGTGTCGATATCGACCCGGTGTGGGCACGATTTCCAAGGGTGGCCTGGCGCTATCGCGATCCAGACCTGGATATCTCTCGTGTTCGGAGAGTTCTTGGTACGTGATTGCCCTGGCACGCACTTTCTCGCGTATTTCTCGCACGTGGGCACGATCGCGGAAATCTCGAGCCTGTAAACAAAATTTTATTAAATAATTTAACGAAGATTTTATGAGTATCTCACGAGCCAAGCTCGCATAGAGTTGCGTAGAATGCAGGGAATTCATACAATGACGTAACATACGATTATGCAGAATTGAATGATAGACACGCATACATAAATGTAGCATAAGTAATTGGCGAAAGTTGAGCAGTTGGTGCCCATTGTGGAAGTGACAATAAGGTTTGGAATTTGACGGTGTAATGATCAATTGCGAAGGAATGTGTAAAGTAATAATAGACCCGTAAATATAGGAGACGTGATTGGTGGAAGATGCCTGCATATATTCCCAACTTAATGAAGGTCTTGTAAAAGTAGTGATTGAGCGGAGTTGCGTAAAAATGCATAATATAATAGTAAATATGCACTGCATATAGTTTAGAAGTAGTACTAAGCCTCTACTGTATGGAAATGCGACGTGGAATACATAAATGTGATTGGTAGAAGATGAACACATTGATAATTTAATGAAAATATTATAGAAGAAGCATGTATAGTGTACGTAACTGTACACATATATTAGTGGGAGTAGAAGAAGTCAAGTTAACTCAATGCAAACTTGAAACTAAAATTAGCAATGTGATACTAATTGCAACACACAATGTGAGATGTAATGTTGGAATTTAATACAAGAAGTCAGTAAATAGTTCAACAGAAAATAAAATAGAACGCAATATAGTGTAATATTATTCGTCTTCGAAAAAAAGTCGAGTCGTCAGTGAAAGATTAACAATGACACTCTTCACTATAAAAATTTACATAGTGGACGAAGAAGAGTCGTATTAGAGAGCAATACTATTTGCAGTAAAATTCGCAAGCAAATAACATAATAGCAAAAGGAAGAACCCACACGGCTCCTTATCCAGGCGACAAACGATTAGCATTTCCGCGCAAGATTATTGCTTGCTCGTAGAAAGTGCAAATTCAAATAAGAAAGTTAAACGACGCAAGCAATTTTGAGGGGTCACAAAAAATAAAGATCTCCAAACACACTTTTAAATGGAATCTAGACAATCGAGACATACATTTTGTGACTCTCTTTCAAAAAAAGAAAAAAAGAAGACTGAACGATACATCTTTGACACGGTGTCATCACAAGGATAAGTTTTAGAATTTTTTCATTGCAAAGAGCTTGAGGAACGATTAAAGAGAAGGGTAAGGAATCATTGACCCTTACTTCTCTCGGATCAGAGACGTTCCTTTGATCTCGGAAATCTCTTCCAACGGTTGGGTTTTCGTAGAAACTTCTCGGCCGAGGCCTCGAGACCTCTTGCTCCAATGGGCGTTCCATCGAATAATGATGGGTTCGCGGCCGCGGTCGAGCCCTGTAAGAAATATCGTTCTCCCGTTCCGATGCCTCCGAATGATTCCGTCTGATCAGGTGTTCGTGGCCAGTCGTTGAATTATTACTGGTCGAGTGTTGACGAGTAAGTTGGTCCTCGTGGTTCTGCCTCGATGACTCAACCCTATTAAATACAAAAATTAATTGATGTAAAAAGTAATTAATATAGAATGATTATTCGAACATTTTTTAGCCAGTATCGAAACATCTTGTAACGAGGCTCGATTATCAGAATTATATTGCTAAATTGAGCTGAGGAAAGCTGAAAATATAATAATAATAATATCAAAGTGTTATAAATAAATTAAATTGTACAACATGCCAAGTAATATATTTCAGAATTGAAATTAAACTTTATTGCAAGTAAAATTTTCCTTTATTGAATCAGAATTATAATTTCTGGAACCTGATGATGTAAGACACAGGGCAAGGAAGTACAGACGTTTTATAATCAGACGTGTATTCTTGCCATCAAATCTAGCAGTATACTTAAACCTTCACTCTCTCATCATCAGTACTCTATCACAAAAATTTCTTCAACCATTTACGGATACTCATTCGGTTGAATTTTATCATTTCAACAGTAATATTCAATTTGTTCTATTGAGTTGGTTAGATTATCAACTCTGTTTAGCAAATGTGAAACTAGACAAGTTTTCTGGGATTTTCTAGACATGTTTGGAAGCACTCGGAGAATTATATTATACGACTATGTGCCACTTCCGAATTCGTTCCACTTGCCACGTGCCACTTCTGGCAACCGCTTCTCGTGAAATAAATCGACAGGGACGTCTATCAATTTCTCTGTACATCCTACAATACGTGAGACTACGATCTGCAAAAATAGAATCCTGAATAAAGTCGTGTTACGAGTCAAACTATCAATCAACCTCAGTCTTCGACGATTTTCTAGCTCAGAATATATGTATGTAATCGATAGACTGCGACTATATAATTTTGTATTTCCGTTAAAAACGGAAGCTTAAAAATAAAAATACCCTACTTTGATTATTTTATGTACTACGTTTATTATATACTCTCTTTATACGCTAAATTATACTACACATCGCGTACAGAATGTTACAACGAGTGCTCCTTAGCCTAACGATGAATGTCCAACGTTTCAAGAACCAATCCATTAACCTGAATAAAGTTGATCTATTTGCTTTCTATGTAACTCGACGAGTTACCGAGTGACACGATCGTTTTCATGGAAATAAAGTTAGCAGGAAGTCGAGCGAGTGAACATTGAAATATATTCCTCGTGACGAGATCTCGCGTTCTGAATGAGAAGTCGGTTTAGCTAATCGGCATCAATGGAGCCGAGCTCGCGTACGTATGTATATCTGCGAGACAATCGTGAAATTTTTCAACTTATCGCGTGCTTTCGAATCGCTCTTCCACTGGTCGGGCAGCTTTTACTTTGAGATTGACACCGGTGATTGCTGGCCCAAAACGAATGACAGCCGGAGGGGAAAGAGCAAAGACAAGCCGCGTGGCCTTTTGAAACTAGTCTTTCTGGTCTGGACGCGGGAGAAAATGAGAGAGAAGCGGCCGGTCGAATCGGCAGGTTACAATGGAATCGGTACAGATTCTCTGGATTAGAAAACGAATACGTCGAACTCGTCGAGATCTACGTTCACCGTAGATAGCTCTCGCGGTACTGAAAGTTGTTTCTAATTGACTCTAATCGATGTACGCCTCGACTTTTTACTTTTTATCCGCGGCTACGGATCTTTCTGTTTCTGTCAATTTCGACAGCTTTCTAACGGCGAACAGCTTTTGAAAGGAAGGTTTGAGTTAGGTTTAAGGCTTTGAAGAAGGTGTTAGAGATGTTCAAGCAGACGTGCATTTCTTTTACATCTTCTACAACTGAAAATTATTAATTGCATGGCACATAGCGAGAAACATACCTGTGAGCAGGATGATTGTCAGCGTCTCTCTGCCTCGAAAGAACAGGCCTGGCAATGGCCTCTCTCTCCATAGCTCGAAACATCTCCTTAGCATCCTGGAATCTCTCTCTGGGGCTAGTCACTTCTCCAGGATTCACTCGGGGTTGATACTGGGGGCTAGGCGACCGCTGCCTAAACTCCGGTGCTCTACGACTTCTATTACAACTCGGTGAAACTCCTCTGTTCACCTGACTGGGCAATCTTTCAGGACTTCTTGGTAATCTTGGCAGCGTCAGGCTCGTCCCAGTCGTGTCTGCCTCTTGCAGATAATCGTTCTCTTCGGCTGGCGCTCCCCAGTCGTCGTCTAAAATAAACCACAAACCGATTAGAATTTGCAGTCGATCGTTTGCAATCAGTCGCAATTGCAACCATCTCGCGATGTGTGCTGTAGGGAATATTTTGGAATTTTATTGACATTGAAACGAGATCCGATTATGTTGATTCCAGACTAGTTAGAATTATCAGGTCTATAACTGAGGTCAAGTTGTCAATAATCATATATTTTACTGTTCTATCCGTCTAATAATGAAGTGGAATAATCTATTTTCTAGACAAATTATTTGGCTTGACTTGGGTATGTTTTCAACCTTCATTTCCTTTCAGGCAACAGATAAAACGTGGTCAACATTCATCGAAACGAATCCTTCGCTCCGCGAGGTAGAAAGCTACGTTTCGAACAATGGACCAGCTAAAGATACAGACACAGAGGAGAGAAGAAGAATCGAGAGAGTCCTTGGTAAGAGCCGCAGTTTTCTCTTTTACCAAGCAACCTGTCGTCTTGGCGAAAAGAAGAAGAAGTGGAAGAGGACCAAAGATGTCTCTTTCTCAGATTTGTTCGAGGAGGTCACGAAGGTTTGAAAAGAAGCTGGAAAAGACACGAACGCGTGACGTGTGTGACGGTGGGACGAGGAGGCCGAAAGAGGAGGCAGGCTAACAGCTGCCTCGGGCTGTGGGCCGAGAATGCGGAACTTTATTATACGCTGTTATACGTGTGACCTCCCACGGGGTCGATTTACACGCGAATTCATCAACTAGCTGGCCGGCTAGATACGCGTTTCAGATTGATTCCCATCGTTATCTCCGTTATCGGCGTGATATCTCGGCGACGTCTATTAAATAGGAGAGGAGACTAGGCGAGAACGTGCACGTTCACGAAAGCTAGCCTCTCGAGAGAGCTGTCGCTTTGCGCAATGTGCCGCGCGGACGCGAATGCCGCGCCAGGTAAAAGTTAAAAGGCAAAGAGCCTGAGATTCTTCTGAATATCATCGACGATCCTTCGGTACCCGAGAGGAGATTGCAACTTGTTCTACCTACTGTAACATCGATGATGACGTTGCCTGATTTTTCTCGATAATTTTTAGGCTGGTACTTTGAATAAGAAAGTTGATTGCTTTTGAGGAGCACTTTGTGTTGAGTGGTTGGTGTAAAATGAAATGAAAATTAAGTGTTAATTGATCAAACCATCAATTCTCAAAACTATATATCCAATACAAATTCTAATCAATTAATATTGCAATTAACTATCAGAGGAATGATTATTATTAAAGAAAGTCTCTCAATCTCCTACATATAATTTTCTATTTGACACTTTCTTTAAGAAAAAAAAAAAATTAACCAAAAGTTCTGTAAAAGAAATATTCTACACGACTTCCCCTTCTAAAAAAAAAAGAAAAAGCAACCAGCAAATCAAGAACTACTAACGATCATTATCGCGATAAAGAATCCACTTTTTCACTTAGCTGATCATCCGCAAAAGCGTGCAGGACGAAATAACAGGTCGCGGATAAAGTAGCTAGCGAGTGCGGCGATAAATTAATCGTCTTAATCGGCGGCCGGAATCTGGCAAGCACTGGGATAGTTTCACGCGATGTATCAGCGCGCGCGAGGCGGCGGATCGTGAGCAAAGTGTGCCAGATCGCGAACAGGCCAGAGGCCCCGCTTATATGGAGATACGAACGTGGAAATCGTGATCGAGCCGTGTCCCCGAGACACCTGTTGCGAAACGGGTTTCCATCGTGTCACGTAAAACGCCAGTGATATAACGAATGCCAATTTTCCTAGACGAGCTTCGACACTCTCCTCCTTACGGCCTTTCAATTGAAACACACTCGTCGCCAAAATATAATTATCCAATTAGTCCAATAGAACAACATTGAAGAGTAATCCAGTTTCTTAGTCGATATAACGATAATGATGAAATTACTTGAATTCGTACTGCTGTTACGAATCTCGAATTTTTAGACTCTATTTTGTGAAACACGAGTCGAACTTCTCGAGAAGAATTACATAGGGAAATTATTAAAAGGCGTCGTGCGGCCACTTATTAAGGTCGTCGGTAAAAAGATTAAATCGAGCCGAAAATCCAGAGGGGATTAGTAGCGAGTACTCGTAAAAAGCGACGTCGTCGGTGAAAAGTGGCTTTAGTCGGTCAGTGGCACGTTCGGCTAGGAAACATCGGCGCCCGATGAAAAATCGCGTAATTACCTAAGCAGCTGATGTACGCTTGCCTTAAAGTCGTAAATCTGTCGAATGACTTTCGATCTATCCGCGATTTAATTGCCAACAAAACCAACTACACGACACCCATGAACAGATTTTCACCCGTAACACGAGGAATTTATTTCATTCTAGTCGTTTGAGCTTCGACGTACGCGAAAAGAACGAACGACCGTGCCGTATCTTGAGTTTCTAACCTGGGATTTATGGGTACTTGCTAATTTAATACGACGCTCGTTGATTCAAATCTATTCAATTAATTCGAATTGAAAAAAAAAACATAGGTGTCATAGAAACACCAGTTACAAAATCTTTCAAAATAATTTGAATGAGAGAATCTTCAATCCAAGTAATTTAATTTGAGAAATTAATCTATTTAAAATTCCCATATTTTAGTAACAGTATGTATATAAATCTTTATTTGATTTTAAAAATATAATTTCTCTTTCCAAAAATACTAACACGTACCCTATCTACAAATCCTTAATCAAATAAAATTTGTATATTTGATTCCCGATTCATTTCATTCAAATCGAAGAATACATTTTATCTGATTTGAAACATACCACTTAGAAACCTGCTGAAGTAATTCTACCTGTTTAATCCTATAGAATCTAACACAAACACCAATTAGAATCATCTTAAGTATCCCTCTCAACGCTCTATACACTCCATAAATCTCCACTTCGAAGCTCCATTTAAAACAACCTAAATTCAACAAACTAAAAAACCTACACGTATCTCCTAATTACCACAGGTCCCTAGGACCCCAACAAATCCATAAATCAAAATTCCTGAAATCCCTTTCCTTCCGCACATGTAACTCGCAGTACATCAGCAAAGCCACACATAATCGTCTGAATCAGACAATAGACGAATTAGGGGAGCAGATATACCGCGACTAAAACGCGTGTAGCGATCCCGGTAGCGGCGTGTGGACATCGGGACCCGGTGTGTCGAAGCGGCTGGATTTTTGCACGGTTGCTACTGCCTGCGGAGCTTGCATCGGAAAAGATGTATGCGTGTGCCCGTAGGCTGGCTGGTACCTGCTGCTGACACGACGTCCTAACGGTATTCCTTCCACTGTAACAGGTGCCCAATACCAACGTCTCCTTCGTGCACGTAGTTTGAAACACGGAGCTCGGTCGTATATACACACACAGACGACCACGAGAAGAATCCTTAGTCCCTCTTTTTCTCTTTTTCTTTCTCCCGTGTCTTTTCTTCTTCTGTTTTCTCTCCCCCCTTTCTCGTGTTCTTTCTTTCCTTTTCCCCTTTCGTTCGTCTTCCTCCGTTCGCGAAATTTATTCGTTCGTACGTTATATAGGTCAGTCGTCCGTTAAAAACGTGTTCCACGACGGAGAGACGGGGAACGCGGCACGGCTTAAGAGCCAGCGTCCGACTCTGACTTTGAAGTTTCAATCCCTGAAGAGTGGCAAGACTCTCTTTGATCCTGTTTTATCGCCGGTTAAAGGCAACCTGCGGAAACTCGCCAGGCTTCAATCGGCGAGGACGTTGTTTTTTTTTTCCCCTCCCTCAAGAGCCACGCTTTTGGAGCCACCGTTCCGCCAGGTAATAGCGCGAACTTAAGTAGATTGCACCGCTATCTGGTCAGACGAGTCTCGATGGTATTTTTTCTTTCTTTCTTGCGTTCGTTTTTCTTTTTTCTCCTGGTATCTAGATTTTTACTGATACGTTTGTTTAGCACGATTATTTTAAGATAAGATTATGAGACGTCAGACAGAGATTAATAATTAAATTAATTTAAATTAATACTTAATTGTCCTGTCAGGTCTAAGTAATTTATCTCTGAATTGTCGCGGTTCCCAATAGTCCGTCGTAAACTAAACAAGAAGTGAATAACGTTCAAGTGAAAAAAAAAAAAAAAAAAAGAAAAAAGAAACACGAGACAACGCAAATTCACAGAAACATTCCCAAAATCGTAACTTTCACCAACCATTTAGCGATTCGTCAGGATCAAATTCCAAAGGGGAATGAATCGTCGCCGAGCGATCGAAGTGAAAGCAGACGAGGGATCGGCGGTGTTAGATCGGTGCGTTTACATTCAATCGCGAGGAGCAGCGACGCGGAGAGAGAAAAATCGAAGATGGACAACGAAAACGATGACGGCGACGTACGATGAAACGATTTTTCGTAACTCGACGAGAAATTGGGTTACCAGGTCGCCTTCCGCCCGGTTTTCTACGAGCGCCGATAAGATTCGAGGCGGAACACACGCGCACGGCCACCTGTTTCAACTCGGTAGAAAGCGTCCAAATTTTTGTCATCATCGCCATAAATCTTTCCCTTTCTTTCCGTTTTATTCCGAATTCGACCACATTCTTTCCAATCCGCTGGAAATTTCCGAAGAAAGTTCGTTTGCTCGTCTAGAATTTCAATGAATTTGATTCGTAACGTTGAACATCACCGTTATCTTTCTTTTTCCTTTTTAGAGAAATAACAAAAATGTTGGAACGCTCATTCTTTTGTTTTTTGATTTTTTGCTGTGTTAATTAATATGATGATAGTATTTGACGAATTGTGTCTACTCTGTATAATTGTAATATTTTGCCCATTTTCTGGAATGTCATTCATAATATTGCCAAGAGACGGTATCAAATAGTAGAATTTTACTTTGATGCAGATACATAAATATAATTTGGTAACGGTGCTAAAACGTAACATAACACGGATGATATATCACTAGAAATTCATACTATCTACGAAAGGTTTCAAACCAATCACTTCGGTTGTTTCGACCGTAGTTAACTCGATTATCAATCTTCAACTTCCTCGACAACTCGTTCACACAGTATCAACGTCACTGTCATGCTCATACGTCTAACATACCTACATACATACACTCATTCTATTTCATCTCCTTTCACTCGGATTCAGCGCCTCTATTTACTTACATATAACCATCTACTCGTGCAACAACACATTCTGATCCTCGAGTAACATCATTGTATAACATTATTATATGAAGAGGCCGCGTTCCAAGAAGAAACTACCTTCATCTCCCAGTAAAGTTCAAAACCAATCAAAATCAAATTAATCAAATTCCAAATGTGCTATAAATCTATGATCAAATGCTTTCGCATCTTTGAACACTTCTCTTCAAATAAATGCAATTTAAATTGCAATTTTAATTGAAATATGTCTCCTCGTTGACGCAAATCTTTTCGATTTTTTCCAAAGAGATCGCGATAGATTGTGCAATTTACAATGTTTTACAGATTTAGAACACCTACAAAAGTACGATCATTTTTATATCCTTGTCTCACTTGAGTAAGAGAGAGAAAAAAACATCTTTTTGTAGATAACCTTTCTCATCAGCGTTAATGTTTTAAAATCAAGACTATCCTCCACATTTCATTTTCCGACATACTGACGTGCAATTAAAACAAGCCAAATGTACGAAGAACTGCCTGCAAGATTTAATATCGCGGAAGCGCAACCGCGTCACGGTCCATCAGTTTTTCGTGAGGGAGAAGAATCGTTTCTCGAGCGAGACCAGGGTAAGAAGAAACAGAGGACTTTCACTTTCGTACACAGCATCAGCCGACGGACAGTTCGCGCGATCGTTTAACGGACGTAATGGCGCGTTTCAGTTGAATCGCCTAATTTCCTAGGGAAACACTTCAATTACTTTCCACTCGGCAATTAGACGACAATCACGCGCGATTACTACTTGTATTCTCATTGCCTCACGATCTACCACTGCGTCTATTTATTCAGAAGAACGAGAAATGCTGATTGCTCGTGCTGTGAAAGCTTCATGTCGAGGAAAATATTGAATTTTCTTCAATTGAAGATTCATTGAAATTCAAAGAGAATAATTCACGCAACAAGGGTGATCCTTTTTATTTATATAATAATAAGAAATACATTTTTTTCAATTTTGAGGATTTTTACTAAAATTCGAATATTTTCGTTGATATATCGTGATTCGTTTTCAGTCGGAAGGAAACGTCATTTCAATTACCAGAAAATGGTTAACCGAAAGAACGTGAATTCACTCTGAACACACCAATTTCACTCGCGCTTTTCATTCACGATAAATTTCACAACTTGCTCAACATGACTATCGAATCACCACGCGAACGTAACGCCTCCGTGCTGTCGTAATTTTCCCCTCTTTCGCATCGTTGTTTAGCATACCGTTTCGTTACGGAATCCGTCCCGACGTCTCGCGTGACATCGCTCCGGCGAATCCGCGCGATAAATCCACCGATACATTCGAGTGAATTTCGTGGGTGGTCACGTGACTCACACAATCGTGGAACTAGTTCACGTTACGATAGTGGGATAACAGGTTGAAGAAGAAGGAAAGTTTGACTAGTTTTATGGTGAATCGTCGTGACTTGATACAACTCTAATATATTCTGTCCATGATCAAAGAATTTTTATCCATTTGATAATCGATTAATTTCAAATTGAGTTCTTGATGAGACAATACAAAGTGAAATTCTTTTTAGATTAAAACTTATTATAGAAATTCAAAGAAAGAAGAAAGACACGAAGAAGAAGAAAACTCTCAAGTCAATAGACTCACGCAGATAAACTGCAAAAATTAAGATATAAAGATGAGAAATTCGAAGAAGAGGAAAAGGATTGAAGCTAGAAACTTCTATCTATAAAAATGTAAAAATAGAAATTCAGGAGGAGCAAACGAAGAAAGTGTAGAAGCTGGTACGTTCGACTTACCGGAGGATGAATCTCTGGAGGGTCTGGAGGGTCTGGGGCCCAGAGGATGATGACTCTGATAAGGTGGGGGCGTAGCGGCACTATCTGAGCCTATTCCACTGCTCGCTGCGCTTCTCGTGCCACCTCTGTCAACGGTAGTACTGCCTCCTACGATCGTTTGATTCAAGCAGCGTCTGAACTCGATCCCAGCGAGATTGCCCCGGTGTCGGTGCACCGTATCGTAATCCCGCGGAGGCAGCAGAATCGGACCCACATCATTGTCCCCTGAGTTGCCTCTGCCTAAAAAAGGAACGAGCCGCGTCTCGCGTTCATCGTCCTCTCACGCCAAGTATATTCGACCAAACTATCCGCGAGTTGTCTGAATTCTTTCTTCCATTTACATATTTTCTATATTTGTCTATGCGTCTATTTGTCTCTACGCTTCGTACGATCCTTTACAGGAGAAGTATGCCATTTTGTAATTTAACAGATTATTGCTCATTTCTGGGTTTACAATCGCACGAACGAAAGATGAAATTTTAATTTCACAACGCGTGAGCGTAGCTGGAGCTCGTAGTTTCCGATACGATGAGTGGCAATTTGAATAGATTTAGGTAATTTCAGTAATTCGACGATGGAGGAGGAAATGTTTTTTCAAAGAAATATTTACCTAGCTTGGCACGCAACTCCGCAGCCAGAGACTCGTATATCGTGGTGGTTTGCACACTGTCGTGTCTAAGTTCGCCACTGCCCTCCGACGACTCTGACTCCCTGGTGCTTCTACCATCGCTGCCTAAATTGCTGCGGGCTCTGCCTTCCAGCGAATTCACCCTCGCCAAATTGTCAGTGTGCGATGCCAGCGCTTTCAACTGGCCGCCAAGTAACTCAGCTGTTTCGACTGAGTCGCATCTACAGTTGCAGAAAATCAAACCAGCATATAAAATTGTGTCTTATAACGTTTATCACTTTAACCGACTTTTATGAGATTCAAACACTGAAGTTGTTTCTGTCAGATATCCCAAATTTATCAATCGATAATTCTGATTATTTCTGCTTACACTCGACACATCGAGTTAGAAATTTGAAGGTTTCGCAAGACATCGCATCGATATCGAAAGAGTCGTCGGTTTATGTATGAATTCACAAGAGTTCAAAGATCAGACGTAACTGGAAGACGAGCCAGACTTACGGTCAAAGACTTCCTCGAATTAATTTCCCATTTCCTACACACCGGAGCAGAGGTCGCCTTTTAATTTCTAATCTAGCCGCCGTTGAAACGACATTCCCCGCGATCGACGACCTTTTATTATTTTCCATGAACTCGGCAAGAAATCGCGGCCAGCGAACAAGCCGCGTTCCCGAATGAACCATTTACCTGGTTTCGATCGGAATCGAAACCGATTCATGAATTCAATGGCGACGTTGTATAATCCGCGTTGTATAATCCGTGTCAGGAGATCATTGTATCACACGGTGGAGAAGAAAAGAAGAAAGAAATCCGCTCTTCTCACGGGATGAAAATACGGCGATCTTGGCTTTCAATAGGCTCCAAGGTTCTTCGCGTGTAGTACCAATGGAGATTGCCGTGTGCGAACACCGGCTTGCCAACGTTATTAGCGACCCGTTAGAATCGTGCAGATCGTTAATTAACGAGCCAACCGTTTTACAATGCTTGAAATCGGACAAAATGGCCACATAGAATTCATGGGTTTCCAAAAGTTTTCTGTCAGAGAGAGCATCGAAAAGCTGAAGCAGTCCCATACTGTTATGTATCAAAGAATATTTTATTTTTGAAAATTTCTTACTTCACGTTTCAACGGGATGTAATTGAGCAGCAACTATAGGTCACACCGTGATGTCAGAATTGTCAAAAGAATTGTCAGAATTTATGGTAATTGGTTAGACGAGAAGTTAACGTGTTTCGGGCGATCTCACGGTAGAATCGGTAACGTGGCCGTTCTCAGAATAATTATCCGTTAATTGATACAAATGTGATCGAATAGCGCCAACTGGCTGTTTCTCGCGGTTCCATTCAGTTGGAGGTTCATGGTAATTTATGGTAATAGAAATCAAAGATCAAAGACGGGGGAACGGCTTCGCCGATGACGAGACGACTACAATAGCGATTCCTAAAGTTTACTCGTATCGTTATTAAACTCATTAAAGAGTCATAGAACGTCATTTGCTCAAACGAAATCTTAATTAGTGCTCGATTCAATGAACATCTGGCTATTACATCCAGTTATACGAACATGATGAATTACGCGAACGAAAACTCGCTGCTAGTCAATCATAGGTGAGAGAATTAATGAACTTCTATTAACGTGAATTATTCATCCTCCAGTGAATCACTCAAGCAAATGGAGATTACGGTGTTCTTTCAATTAATGAACTACTTATCACCTGATCAAGTTCAATCCACGAATCAAGTTCTAATCAATGAACTCCCGTGGTTATACAAACTATTTAAAAACTTCTAAGCTTAGATAAATAAAATTCAATCGTAAAATTATCTCAATCTTAACACGTTGAATGCCACGCGAGATTTCTCATTATACAATAGATATTACGTTGAAATATTATCCACAACGAATAAACATGTTTAATAGATTTATTTCACTGGTCACCCATATGGTGAAACTGAGGGTTGCGTTTCTTCACGAACTCATCCTTTGCTCCATAGTTGATCCAAATGTGTAATACTCAAAAGTATCGTAAAGTATAGTAACCTGTAAGCGTGCACGTGGACAGGATTGTTGGTGGCCGGATTTGGAAGCAGAAGAGTTGCGGCGACGACGTCCTCTCGTTGCACGGCCGCAAGCACAGCGTGTCCTGGCACTAAGTGTTTCACAGCCGACCTGGTCGAGCCGCCTGGATGGACCGTCTGTATAATTTTCAGGCCCTTGTTGCTCACCTGACAATCGTGAAACGTGGACGATCAACCGTTGGTCGCCGATCTAACAGCAGCCGCGATGTTTTAACGCGCCCCGGACTCGACCTCGGCGATGAATTACGCGGCCACGGAAACACGTTACGGCATTGTTCCCGTACTAAAATGCAAATCGACCGATTGATGCATCACGCTAGCGGGGTATCGTGCTACATCGATGGCTGTAACGCATCGGCGAACAGCACCGGCTTTAATCGACGTTAACGTCGCCTCGATTTTTTGCCTTAGATGGAGACCGGAACGCGAGGAAACTGAGGGAGCATTTCGCGATGTTTTTCTCTTGCTTTCAACGTTTGTGTACGATTTGGAATTTTTTTTAAGGGATCCTTTGTTGCATCTTCAATTTTGTACCCACGGGCTAAGAAATTTTAATTCGCCCATCACGAATTGAGAAAGAAAAATTCTGTGCTTCCTGGAGATTCTTACTTTATTTTTGCCTTTGAGTCAAGTTGTTCTTCCAATTCCTCGTTTTTTATATAATAATATTTCAATATTTTATATATAATATTTTAATTAATATAATAATATTTTCCTGCGTTTGCATTGTCAATATCCCATTGAGTTTACAACTTAGAGATACGGTTACTTCTGCATTCGTAAAGATAGAAATCTCGAACCTCGCGCAGCAATTTCCATAAATACGCAAATATGCAATTAACTGCTAATAGCGTGTTATCTATGTATCGTGAATTGAATCTTAACTTGATAGTTAAGGAGCACACTGATACGTAGTCTTGTTCGATAAATAGTGTTATTTTGGACATCGAACGAGCAATGCTTTCCCCCCGTGACAATAACATATTCTCCGTGTGGCTGCGTAAAAACGCAATTTCCTTTTCGAAAGCAAATAATAACAGCGTAACGACGAAAGCGAACACGACATTTCAAGAAGAAGAAGAAGAAGAAGAATAAAAAAAAAAATAAAACTTTCTCTATTTTACGATCACGCTCATAGGAATGTGCGTACGAGCATATCGATGATTATTGCTCGCCCCAGGCCATGTTGAAATTACCGGCAACACTGTTTCATTAGCGGCCATGGAAATCCATTAAAAAGTTGATGAGTAATCTGACGCGTAACTGATTTTCGACACAGTTCGATCGTAAATATAATGCGGCATTAAAAGAGATAGAACGCGATGCTTCCTCTCCGACACGGATTATCTCTGAGAATTTCTATTCTTCCCAAGATTAAACTTTCTTTTCAAAAGATATAAAGATACAGGAATGTTACTCGAAGAAAAAAATGAAGTCTGATAGTTTATGAACGCCAAGACAATTTCAACACTGTTGCCCTATTAATTCTTGCAATTATAGCATTAAGAAATAATCGACTTCAAAACAAATTATTTGACATCGAATGACACTGTATCGTTAGAAAAAAAAATTCATCAGCTCGCAATTTCCTCCTACACAATCCTCTGTTTTAATTAATTTTCAGAATTATTAAACATCAAGGAAAACTTGACAATTCCCACTAAAAAAAATATTATTAAACCACCTCGTATGTTCCAAAAAAGAAAAAGAAAAAATCCATTACTACACGATTTCTAAGAAGTTTTCTCTTTACCCACACGCCAGAGGAATCTGCTCGCAGCTGGAATTGCGAGAAAATTGCAAAATCCAATTCTGAGACGAGCATCGTGCACCAGATGCACGAACGAAATAATCAGCGGTGTCCTCGCTGAAGACTGCGGTCTTGCGACGAAATCGGCAAGAAGAGAATGACGCGGGCAATTTTCGCCAGCAGCGCAGACTGTTCATTACGGCTGTCGCGAGTGGCTCGCAATCAGCAAGCGAAAATTCGGCGCGCTAAAATATTCTCAAGGCAAAGCGATCTCTCGCAATCAACGCCTCCAACACTGGCGATTACATTTGCACAACAATTAGACGGGCCTCTTTGTGCGATTTCGCAATAATTTCAGTTCTTTCTCTTCCTTCTTCCAGCGGTCTCTTGGACTCTTTCGCGCGAAAGACCTGCCCGCGGCGAATTAACACGCAGAGGAACGTCCATTAAGATCGAACGCGTTGATACGGAAAACGGTTTTGTTTTCCAGGCGATAAAGCTCGATGGGAAGCTCGCTGGTTTCTAAACGAGTGATAAATCACTGAATGATAGTTTGTCAGACGTGGAGCACGCGTTTTGACATTACCTACATTATTACGTTCTTCCGTGTTCAGCTAATATAGCTAATGATAACGATCTGTCTTTCTAAACTCCAAATTATCCGAGAAGCGAATAAGAAATTTGTTTCTTTTTCAGAAATGAAAACGAAAGAGATAACATCTCGATTCGCGAAATCTATTAACAATTAGATTTCTTTGTGGTTCTTTATAAGGGAGAAACAGTAATCTAAATTTCTAAAGTTCATCGATACGTGAACGTTAATATACGCTTCTTTCTTTCCTTTTTTTTTTTTTTCTTCCAGGTTTCAAGAATTGCGGTTAAACGCGGATCTTTTGATAAATGAAGAAACAAGCCGCAGAGAGACGAGACCGTTTCGTCGTCGGGATCGTCGTGCGGACGAGGATGAAAAGAGCAATTTGGCAAGGAACGGGGAATAACGAGGCGATTTTTAAATTGGCATGCAACCCCTTTCAGCAAATTTCAATTGACATGCAACGGGAATGTCGAGCAACACACAGACAGCTTAACGGTCGCGGGACAATTTCGGTGTCATCCGTTTTATTTTCTCTTTCCCATATTGAACGCGCCGGACGTATTAGCGCCGTGCCCGTTTCTGTTAACATTCGGGTCAACGAATCTTTTATTGTGCTTATCTAATTAACCTCGCTCAACGAGGCCTGCCGCATTAATCACTGCTTAACTGCGCCTTTGACCCTGGGAAATATTTTTACACGTAATACGCGCGTGACTAATTGATAATTCTTTTCTTTTTTTTTAAATTTACAAAAAGTTACGAGACAAATAAAGAGGATTAATATACATAATAGGCATGAGAATCAACTTATAAATGGTCCTACTGAACGTCGAGGGCGTTTGTTCGTTAAAGAAGGAAGCCAGAGAACTATTGGTTCGTTGAAAGTTCAACGAAAGTTCGGTCGAATGATTTACAGCGGAGACGAGGAAGAATCGCTTGACATCGTTCCAGGAACTTTTCTAACTTTCTGACGCAACAATTGCTCGTGGCACGTTTTCGTAACAACGGAATCTAGGTTTCGAGGGAATCAAAGCGGCGAAACTTTCCTAGAAACAATACAGAACGAATTTTAAAAGACCACGTCCGACACTGTGCAACATGCAGATGGAGGAAGAAGATTTACGATAGACGATAATCTCATTTGCAGCTTGACAAATTCGTAATAAAAGTACATCTTGCATGTATCTGCAAGGTAACGAGACAAAAATCTAAAGAATTCTAACGACAATCCCACTCGATTGTTGACTCGATCCACTTGATTTCTATTTAAAGATGTTTTCCATAAGAGCCGCTCCTAAAATCCAGATATCCCTACGACGCAGGAATTTCAAAGAACGTGGATTACGACCGATGGTAAACGACAAATCCAGTTCCACCCCCGAAAACTCGCCCGCCATCAATTTCCAAGACGGCGAGATCCTTCGTGAAATGTAGCCAACACTCGGCTTGGCCATCTCACGCTCATTTGCATATCAACAATTTTACGATCGTACGTGGCTTTTATCTCCTTAAACTGCCAAAGGCAAAAATAAAGATGTTGACTCGAACTCCTCTTTTACCTCGTTTTTTATTCGTTTCGTTTCGTTTCGAAGGCGGATTTCGCTCGGAAAAAAAGAAAAGAAAAAAAAGAAAAAAAGAGATAAAACGCAAAGCGTCCCGGAGGAAACTGATAACCTGTCTCGAACAGGTCGAGGACTGGGCGATCCCGGTATGTAGGCTGAGGTCATAAATCGGTGATTTTTATTCGACCTGCAGACTGCTTTCACTGGCGGCCGACCGAACGACACGCGTGCGCGAGTGTTAAACGAAATGAAACGAAGTTAAATGAAGAAACGAAAACGCGTGTTCGCATCTCTTCTTTTCTTTTTCTCTGACCTCGGCGATTAATACTCCTTTTCGCGATATTTTCGGCCACGAAACCGGATCTCCGAAATGGTACCGCTCACCTGCAGCGTGACCTTGAAAGGCTCCTGAAGTCGTTCTCGCTCGAGCAGGTAAGCTATGGCACCGGGCATTGCGTCCACCCCCTTGGCCTCCCGCGCGCCCAGGTACCAGACGTAGTACGAGCTCTTCTTGACATCCTTGCTGCTCCTCAAACGCAGGGCCATCACTCACTCTGTTCGACCGAAGAAAAGACGCGTTAACTCGGCTCGACTCTTAGCCCCTTCAGTGACGAAAACGAGAGGCTGAAAATCTTTGAGCGATCGAGTGCTTGGAGAGTGAGAGACACTGGTGGATCCAAGCGAAACCCAAGAAGGAAACATATGGGTATTTGGAAATCAAAGACTTCGAAAATTTTGGATAGCGAAGGTTTCAGATTGAGAAATTGGGAATTTGAAGAGAGAGAGAGAGATGTTTTAAAAATTTGTACTCTTAAAGAACTTGAGTAGTTAAAAGTGTAATTAAATATCGAAATTTGGAAATATAGAACCTTAGGATTTCAGAGATTTCAGAGGATTTGACAGTTCGAAAATTTAGAGATCTAGGATCTTGAGACTTACTGAACCCTCGCGGTTTTTGAAAGTGCCTCGAGTAGATTCCAAGAATTTTCCACAGTTAATCGAAGCACGTTGCTCAAGCGACAGCCGGAATCGGGACATTATCTTTCACCATAGCCAGAAAATTATTGAGATTCTTACTACCAAAGTCTTGGACTTTCTAAATAATTCCTGAAGAACTGCTAGACACAGAGGTCGAATTTTTAAATCCCTTAATTAATTCTCCAAACTACCAAGTTCAATACATTCCAAACTATTTTAGTAAAAGTTAAAATCTCCAAAAATACATTAATTCTCCCCATTGAAAAAAAAAACCATTAAGGTCTTATCGAGCCCTCATTAGCGTTAAATGGTACAAAGAATATATGTTAAATAATATTTCGAGCAAAGTTGAGGAATTTTCAAGAGTTAATTGAGCGCGCAGGAGGGCAATTATTGAAATTCTTGCTATCAGAGTTCCCCCCTTATCGGACACGGTGTGTTCGTAACGTTTCCCTGGCGCAAAAACGACGATTTTCCACGAGGCAGGCTTGCAGCCGTTGGCTGGTTGGCGAAGAACACGAACGGCTTGTCTGTTCATCCGCTTCCTCAATTACTTTCACGCTTAAACCCGTTTTCTACGTTAACCGTCTCGCAAAGAATCGGTTCCCACCGATCTGCATCGCGCCGATGCCGTATCTAAAGCGCAAATATCCCTGGAATCGGCACAAAAACACGTTCAGGATCAATGTCGACCCTCGTACGATCGATTATCCATCGATTTTTCACTCATAACCTGTTCGATACCATTCCGTGCGATTATTCCAACATATTCCAAGATTCCAAGAAAACTGAGACTAATTAACTAATAATAATAATTGTAATAATTTTCAAAAAACTTTTTTCAACTGAGACTAATTAACTAATTGTAATAATTTTCAAAAAAACATTTTTCAAGTCTACCTCTTTTTAACGCTAATTTCGAACGAAGTGCTGGCTAAATAATGAAATAAATAAGACAAAATACATTACGCTCGAATCAGTCAAAGTTTCATCAAAGAAAAGCTGACTTTTTAAGAAGCTAAGTAACGGTCTAAAGAACTTTCGCAAAATATAACGTTGAACTCTCGCTTTTGGAAATGGTCGGACTTGATCCTCTCAATATTCACGTGGCCGAGGCACGCGAAACCGTACACGACACCGTCCACGTTTACCGATATACGTTTGTTCTCTTTATTTATGCATCACACGCGTTTCGAAATCTTATACGCTCGCGTGTAGCCGTAAATATGTAATAGGCTCGCTTCACCTACGACCACGGCGCCATTCCCGAGAAGAGTTATGTTTCTTTTAACGATAAATCGCGTTCGTTTGTCCGGTATACGCAGTCGAAGGTATATAAAACCTGATTAATAGCCGTTCGACGTCTATATTGAGCTACGCTACGATTATGTTATTCTCCGGTCCCTATTATCGCGAGACACATTTTAACATTTCCTTTTTACAAGCGACAAGTGCAATCGATAACTTTGCAAGTATAAAAACCGATCGATTCGTCTCGCTAGGAAGTTGTTTCCAAGTTAATGGAGAACACCTTGAAGATCGCGGCTGACTATTTGCCTAGAGAATAAATTTGTGCACGTAAAGAAGAAGAGGAAATGATCCACAGGCACGAGTCATTTGTTACCTTTTTTTTTTATCAGATATCAGCAGGAACATCCCGATGAATAGAAATTACGATCGTCGAAACGTTACAAAATTACTCGTTTACTCGAACAGTTGGAAATTAATCGCAAGAATCGCGATAGCAAGAACCGCGACTTTCGAATCTGCCGCTTTCATCACCGCGCCGGAAGTGATTAAACTCGAATTTCTTCGACTCCTCGCGTTCGAACGATTATTTTTATTTACGGTAACGCCGGGCGTTTGAATTTAAATCGCATTTACTGTGTACAGCGTAGCGTGTATTTTTAAATCGTATTTGCCAACATCACCGGCTGCCTTGGCTTCGCGATTTTAAACAGCTCTGTCAATTGCCATCTACTTGAGCAACGCTCGAATCGGTAGAAAATTATTTAACATTTTATTGTTCATTGTTTTCACGATGTTGTTTATGAAATTTTACCAGTCACGAATTATTCAATTATAAACACAAATTTTTAAAATTGCGGATCTCCTAATTTGACAATCTCTGATTTGTAAGACTGAGAAAAATCCACAACCTACAACTCGTAATTTATCAGTTATCAGTCAATAAATAATCGTGCAAGAACAGTTTGCAAATTATAATCTATAGTTTATAAAAGTTATTTTGTATAGCGAGTAGCGAAAATGTAAATGCAAAAAATCCTCGCAACTTGTCAATTCACCGATAATTATTATTATGACAATTATTATGCAAGAGGGTTCAGTAGAGGTGAATCGTGAGAATAACAAAAGTTCGTTCCTTCGAAAAACCTTCGAGACGAGAGGGAAAAGATGGTGTTAATTTTCGGTGGAGTAGAAACAGCAGGAAACGTGATGAGAAAAGAAATGGTAAAACAAACTGACCGGCGGCGGAACGGGTCCGGGATGCTGAGTGCTCGCGGCTGATTTTCGTAGGAATTAAGCAACGCAGCCGCGGCCAAGAGTCAACGGGTCTTCGGTAAGCAGACAGCGGCGGCGGCGGCGGCGGCGGCGGCGGCGGCGGCGGCGGCTGGTTTCGGTGAGCAGAGGAACAAGTTGTACGGTACGTACGGCCCACGTACGTGCGTGCAGCATGCACGGTGTCGTGCTTCTATACGTATACACAAATCCTTGCCAAGGAGCACGCCAGTTCGTCGAAGCGGAGGAAGAAGAAGAGGAGGAAGAAGAAGAAGACGAAGACGAAGACGAAGACGAAGACGAAGACGAAGACGAAGACGAAGAAGAACAAGAAGAAGAAGCTCGCCTCGGTCGATCTGACAGCTGCGCGACTCCAGTCCAAAGCACTTTTCCACGCTCGCCAGCCACCAGTTTCTTTATATGCACACGCTCGCGTCTCTCTGTTTACTGTTGTGTGCACCCTCCTGCTTGGCCAAAGAGACTCGGTTGGAACGGAAGACGAAGAGCCAAACGAAACGGAACGGTGAAACTCCTCCGTAGTCACGGAGTTTAAAAAAAAAAAAAACAAAAAAAAAAGAAAGAAGGAGAAAGAACCACGAGAGTTCCGATATTGGCGAGAAATATTCCAGAAAAATTCCGTAACCGCGCGATTCGATGCGCGATTTGCAGTGGAGAGGCGTCGCCTTGTTGTTTCGCAGAGTTCACTTGTCAACGACGCGGCGCGAGTGGATTCGCGCGTACCTAACCATCACGGGATACTGACTCCACGGCGGAGATCCTCCGCGAAGAGCTCCGAGTGAAACGCGGACGAAGGGAGAGTGAGAGCAAGCGAGAAAGGCCGAGCTACGGTTTCAATGGCGGTCGCAACAGAGACAGGCTTAACCGGAGCGGAGTCGAGGTTATGTCTGTCCTTTAGCGGGGGCCCTCTCTCGCTCGTTTCGAATGCCCGTTTCGACGGGGACTCTCCGATCTTCTCTGCGCTCTCCTCTCCTCCGTCTTTCTCCTTTCTCTCTCTCTCTCTCTCTCTCTCTCTCTCTCTCTCTCTCTCTTTCTTTCTTTCGGACGAACCGCCACACCTTGCCGCCTCGAGATCGGCTCGCGATCGCCGGTAAACGCGTTCCCTTGCCAGCAGCCTCGAACTAACCGGACGGTTTTCTGTCCTGAATTTTAGTCCCGGGGCCTCATCGAGCAACGAGGAGAAAGACACTGGGAAAGGGAAAGAGAGACGGTGTAACGCTGCTGACGGTGTAGAAGTGGTGGAAGAACCGGGCCCCTTCCCCTTTCTCTCCTTTCCTCTCTTTCTCTCTAGACTCCCCTACCTGGCCGTTTTAGCCTCCTCGGTAAGCGTTGCCCCTGCACCGAGGATGGCAGGTTAAGAGGCAGGCAGGCAGGTAGAGAGACGCCTCATTGATTAGCGATGGAAACGACATGCGGCTGGTGTTGATTGCTTGTCAACTTTTTCAACCCCTATCCCTCCCCCAACCATACCTCTTTCTCTCTTTCCCTGCATTAAATGTTAGCGTGTCAGGTTCAAGCATTACTGGTTGGACCCGTCTGGTTACGTATCCGTGAAATACCGAGCCATACTAGTTTCACGAACGCGCATGCAAAATTGACGGCGGACATTAGTCATTAAATTAACTTAAAACCTGAAATTCTCTGGACAATATCGAAGATGCGGCTCGGAGAGATGAGAAATGTTGCCACGTAAGAGGACAAGACTGCATCTCTCCCCGGCGTTGCGCGTGCGTTTTTCGTTTCGATCTTGATTCGACGCGTTCCTGCAGAGCGGAGAATCGGAATATTCAAATTAACCCGTGTAGGGTTCCGAAGATAGATAAGTATCGTGTGTCAAGTCGGTCCCATCACTACCGCCGCTAACGCAAGCGGGCAATTCTTCCTCTGACCACAGCTAGCGCCATCTTCGTCCCATTACTACCTTTCTTCTCGTTCCTGCCCGTCGGTTTTTCCTTGTCCAGCTTGAAAACGGTTCCCCAATACGATTTTCTGCCGACCCAGGCCTCCAACGGGGACCGTGCCCCTTCCACCTACGCGTTCATATGGATGCTCTTTGACTCGCTTAATGCGAATGCCAGGTGCCTCTACAGGGTGTACACGATTAACGTACGATCGCCAGTTCTGTAAATTCTCAAAGGCACGTCAAAGCAGCGATCCATCTCCCGATTTCTTTCTTCTTTTTTTTTTTTTTTTTTTAATTAGAGAATCGCGATTTTAGAGAGTTGCATGCGTGTGGTGGCGGTCGCGTGCAGACGAGAGTGCGTGAACGAAGGCGGCGCGCTCGTGCATGTTCGTGGCAATTAACCATCACAGAAAGACGCCGACCTGTGTGGTCTTATTAACCGAGGGTCAAAGAAGATTCTGCAAAGGTGGATGCGTGAGCGTACGGGACCGCGAGCAATTCTACGAATAATAATGTTATCCAGCTCTCATAATCCGATTATCCAATCGGATTCGCTTGTCCGTCTACGATAATTACACTACATAAGCTCGCAGGTACAACGCGTACTTATTTTCATCGATGTGGCAATTAATGGTAAAATAATCACTTGTCCTGGCAGTAAAAATTTTTAAAAGTTAACCAATGAATAATGCCAGAGTCATCATAATAATCTCTAAAGACTTTCCTTCAAAGAAAATTCCCTCTCAAAGTTCACAGTTTATAAATGCCGAGTCTATTATTGATTCTTCTGAGGGAAAGTATATCTGCTTCGAAAATGACTGTCTAACTCTACCAATGACAATTATTTTGTCATTGACAATTTCTTCAGAATTCAAGAAATGTGTCGATTGTGAAAGAATGAAAATTAATTTATTGTTCAGATATATAATACTTGCGAGCATTGGCATCAAACGGAACGAATATTAAAGTAATCACGATCCTCTATTTTTAGTCCCATTTATCGGACACGAATGTAAATTAAGAAGCATGGAAAATAAACGATGGGGATTTAATGGCTGTCCGGCAGGGTTTATCTAACTCAAAGTAATTTCACTGTGTTGTCATACGACACAACGTCATTCATAATTCATAGATGCCATAAACGTTGCGCGAGCAATCGTAAAAATCTCGCGTTTGTAGAAAGCTCCCTCGCAGGATTTTACAATTTCTTGATTGGCGAAGGACAAATTCATATTCATCCGCGTCACACGATCGTTTCGTTCAGGGACGTTCGGGTTTCATCGGTACTAATGACTTCATCTCTTCGTCCACGCGTGAATCCTTTTTATTTCTATCTAATGGATAGAAGTGTGCTTTCCCGCATTTTTCAGCGCACAGGATATCTTGGAACAAAGCTGCTCAACTCCAATCGATCATAGTTGAGCAACTCGCTAAAATAATAATTAAACCAATGCATCAAACTTTTCAAATGACACTTCTTTTAATTCTAAATTCACGACAAACTAACTCTCCGAAACTGTGTGTGATTCACACTTGGCGTCCATTACAAATTCTATGGTTCGAAAGCGAAAGATTATGATCTTGGCTCGCTTCAACCTTAGCCTGGAAGTTCAGGGTTAGTCTGATCGTAAAAAATGCCTGGACTATCGAAACCGTAGCCAATAAAAATGGCTAGAGAAAAATAAAGAGCGAAAGGTCTCTTGATCCTGCAACAACGTTTACAATTTACAATCTTGCAAAGTTGCAACTGATCAATTCTCAATGTACGAGTCTCAAAAAAAGAAAATAAATAAATAAATTCTTCGAAACTGTGAAGAATCCGTAGATATTCTTGAAACGATAACAAAATCATGCTAATTGAAAGATTTCTAAAAACGTTTCGATTATTGTAAAAGATTTGATTGCCGTAGCCTGCAACAGTGATTACGTGATAGAATTTTGAATTTTGGCGCGACGTATGGATACGAGGAGAGCTTTCACTGACATTTGAGTCACGGAGACTGGAATCCCTGCTGAGGGATCCCTGCGTGCTATTTTATTTTCACCCGTGCGCACCACGGGATGTATCATTGCCGATACGTGATATATTTCGTTTTGTACGGCGTATATATGAAACTATGTTGCGGTTTGCTACGAGAGAACGCGTCGGCCTATAATTTGAAACCATAAAGGTGTGCGTTTCGTACGATCTACTCGTGCTATTTGTTGTTGCCACCTTTGAAATCGATTCTTCAGATCTTCTGAGAAACAATAAACCTGAGGATATAAAGTACCAACACATATTTACTGTCTCTTTTCTTTCTCCTATTAATTCCGCACTTTCTATTTTTAATTTTGACCGACGTTTCTTACATATAATCGTTCTTTCAAAGCAGGCATATTAATTCGATTAGATTTATTCAGTTCGTGAAACTGAAGAGTGAGAGTAGCATTAATAACAGAAGATTGCATTAACCCACGCGCGGATTAATCGGCGAATATAAATGAAAGGTGAGGCTAAAACTAAACCTGACCATTTGTCATTATTATTTATTCAGGTCAATTAATACGTGAGACGATTTGCAAGGACGGATTGCATGTAGAGCATCGGTCAGCCGACCAATATAAAAAGAATCATTTGTAATTTTTAAATAAATGAAGAAAGGGACGGTTCTCAAACTGTATGATTAATTTGCAATTTGCGAATAAGTTTCAAAAGGAACTTCGAATTAATTGAGACATTGAAACACTGAAAGCGAAATTGACATGTGCTGGAAATTCCGATACATACACGGTTGTACAAAAAGATTGACAAATAAAATGTATATGTTTCATATTTATATTTTCATCATATTTTTAATCATTATTGCATCATTTACCGACTTTTCAACATTTTTTGCACTTTACATATTGATATCTAAATGTTGCACGTTACCACGAGTGCGTGATGTGACAGTATATTCAAACTACACTGTGTTCACGTCTAATGAAAATTGCTTCTAGAAGAACAAAAACCGTCATTGCATCAGTCTGTATGTGTCTGACATACGTCACAACCACATAAACACAGAAAATCCCTTTAAACTGGTTTTAAAAACCAGAACAAATCCGAGGAAACCTGGACGGATAGCAGCCCTACTTAGAATAACTCTTCTTCAAAATTGCAAACATCCAATCGCACGAACAGAGGCAGAAATCAATTGAAAATGAAAATCTATGATGTTTCTCGACACTAGGTTACCCAATCGACGAGTATCGATTTGCACGTGCGATCGAGCGTATCCGATCGCGCGATGACGAAAACGAGGGAGTAGAAATTAGAGACTAGATCATCAGTCGTATTACATATTTATACGGGCCACCCGATACAGGAGATCATCCACAAAAACGAGCCGCGACGAGCGTGCTGCTACGAATCCTAACCAGATGCATCTAAGTATCGCTGGAGAACTCGCGAAGAACATGAGCACTCAACCATTCGCAGGTAAGATCGCTTCGAGGTACGTGAAGATTGTGAAAAAAGCTATTCTTTCAAGAATAGAAAGTGATTATAGACGCTCGTGCGAATTTACATTGGATTGGATTGTACTTTTTTAGGCTGGAACGATTTAAATTGAAATTCGCCCCAGTGTTGTAATTCGAATTATTTTTTATATATTTTCCTCTGTGTCACGTTGACAGAGAAAAATTGAAATTTTGAAGGAAAGCATAATAAACAGAATGTATTTATTTTTAATTGAAAAACTAAATTAATAATTAAACCAAGAAGCATGAAAAAATTGATTAAATCAGTGGTATTAATTTGGAAGCTGCAGATTACAGAAAAAAAAAAGATTGGAAAAACTATAGTGAACTATCGAATGAGAAAATTTGATTTGGTTGATTATTGAAGCATGAGAGATTTAATTTGATTGATTGATAGCTACTTGATAGAGTTAAAGCAATCGAGCTTGTATACGAGAGGCAGACGATGTAAAATATTGATTTCATGAATAATTCATGGCGTCAGATGACAGTGTCGTCATAAAAGGAGAAAAAGATTATTGCCCTAATCGTTACTAATCTGGTTCGTCTACAACTAATAACGAACACACAATCGTAAATATCAAGTATTGACAAAGAATCCTACGGTAATTCTAATTTAAAAATTAGAATCGATGTGTTCAAAATAAGAATCAAACTAAAGGTATCAATAAGAAATCGTTAGTCGTTGGTAAGATTGAGTATAAATGAGACTTTGTAATCTAGACACTCTCTCTAGAGATAGTTCGCACCTTTCTGAACGATTAGGTGAAACAAGATCCAAACGAATGGTATGCGCGTTCTCTCCGCTTCGATAGAATGCGAAACATGTTTCCCGAGCCAAATCCAACGGGACTGACATCTGTAACAGAGTGGAGAAGCGGAAAACGAAAAGGAAGAAGGTCCGCTGAAAAAGAGCTCTCAAGTTTTGCTCACTGGCGCGGAAACAACCTGACAATTCACTTATATCGAATACAATGATCTTAAAATTGAACGATAATCGGAGAAATGCGTTTCCACCGTCCTTGTTTCTCTCCTGCATCTCTGGAGGAAACTTCAAGGAATCTACTCTCAAAATTTGAATCTTCATTGTAAAATTACTTGTACACAAAATCATACATAATTGTTTAAAGATTTTCATTATTTCTTAATAATTTATCTGTATAAATGAAGTGCACTTGAGTAAACTTAAATATTTTGTGCTTTGAAATATTTGAACGCTTATGCAAATATAGTATACTTGGATGTTTAAATATTTACATACTTGTATACTAATAATTCGTTTCAATATTTAAGCATGAATATGCGCGTTTAAATTCCTCGGCAAATACTTGAATACTTGCACAATCAAAAATTCTGATATCTTAATGTGGCATCAAGAGCATCTTACAGTTTCCAACTAATCGATAATTTCCAGTATACGCCATTAATTTCGTACCGCTACGTTATCCAACCTATTTACTGTACTAATAAAACTGTAACATAATCGCGATTTTGATATCAACGTTCCCTTTGATGGAACACAGGCGAATCGACTGTATATAATACAGTTACTTCTCTACGAACTATTAACCAACCAATTGAACTGTACGAAAAGACAATATTTCCTTTTTCTTTCTCGGTGAAATGCACGGTCTCGCATTATGCTTGGTCGTCGAAGGAAGTTCAATCTCATCAAAATAACGGCTTACGACGATTACGCCGGCAATACGCTCTAAAACTCATGGAAACGAGCTTGCGTAATTTCATGTAACGATCCCTACCGCCTAATCGCGGAATGATGTTCAGGGGAAAAGATAGGGAAAACAGGAAAAGGACACGTGTGCCCACCGAGTCACGGTAGAACGCCGCTGAGAAAGTAAATGGTTCCGGTGCAACCATAAAATCAACTATAAAAACATGACACGCATCTGCCGCTCAATGTTCTGCATGTCAATATTCTACAAAGTCGAAAACTCGCAGAAGGCATTTCAGTAAATTAAGAATCTTTATGAAAAATTGACGAACAATTAAACAGTCGTAAGAAACAAAAATCTGGGTGATTTATTCGCAAGTTTTAAAGCGAATAACACGAAGAAGTGAAGAATGTAGGTAATTCAACTTTGAAATTTCAAATTCTGAAATTTTAAATCCGAGAAAGATGAAAATTCAAGTAGCTAATCTCCAAATCTTTCTAATTCCAATATATGCAAACTATAGACACGTCAAACAGTTGACAGAAGACTATAAAGAATAAAAATTCAAGGAATAAACTTCCGAGGTTGAAGTTCTAATATCCGGAATACGGATATAGGAAACCAGCTCCATGGATAATAAATTTAATTTTTGCGAGCGTTATTCTGAGCAGCTGGACCACCGCGAGACGTGGTAATACTTCACAGCGATTAAATACGATAGACGGAATCACCGTCTTTCTCTTTTCTTCTCTTTCTGGAGAGAGCATGATCTACGCCGGTACGAGTATTAACTCGGGATCCGAGAGCTGTAAGATTCCTTTCACGTGATTAAATGTCGAGGGAATTTTTATAACAGTACCGTGAAGAGGATGTAGAAAGTCGCGATGTGACGCAATGTTAAAACGTAGCATTAATGCCGCACGAGATTGCTGCTGGTTTGAGGAAGTAAGTAAAGAAGATGAGGATATCACGTATATTGATATCCACGTACCTTATTATAAGTTGAACATTTACATTAATGATATAAAATTTTCAATACATGCTTGAAACTTTCCTTTTTATTTATCTGTGAAAATTTATAATAATTAATTTAAAAATTATTTATTTATTTACTTATAATCAATTTAATTGAAATATGCAATAAATTGATTTCATTTTTATGTCATAAGTTCTAAAGAAATTCTAAAGAAATTTATAATAAAAAATTCTAAATGCAATTATAGTATCTTATTATGCGCAATGCTAACTCAAACCAAAATTATCACTTTTCCGCAACTCTAATTATTCAATTCGAAATGAACTTTAACTCTAACTCTAATTTCAAACTCCAACTCAAAACACGAAAATTCGATTATATCACAAACCGATAGGTTAATTAAAATCACAACATTAATAAAAATTCACGATAATATGGAACATGAAAATGAGCCAGAAAGTCTACTACTACAAAACACACAACAACTACTACTATTACTACTATTACTACTACTAAAAAAAAAACTACTACTACAAATATTAAAAGCGAGCATAGTGACAAAGTAGTAACAAGAATAACTTCCCATGCTCTGAATCAACTAAATGGTCCAGAGGATGAGGAGTAGTTGCCCTCTTGAGTGACAATTTGTTTGGGCCTCTTCGGCTTATAGCCTCTTCTTTCTTCAGTAGTCTTGAAACTTAAAACTGAAATTCTCTGTTCGTAAAAAAAGTCACAGAATTGCCACTTTCATATTTAAATACGAGCAATTATTGTAATGATCAATAAATGCAAAATCTCGCATGATATATGTTTCAAGACTCAACCAGAGACTATGTCAACCTACTTATATTTAATAGAAACATCAGAAAATATGCTACCTATCCTATCCAACTCCCCTTTCATTATATTTAAAAAATGACGAAAGACAGAACCAGACAAAAGACCAACACACTCCACATATCACAAAGTGATATAGTTATTCGCTGAGAAATTATTAGCTATAGTCATCATACTCACTGCCATCCAAGTAACATCTGGGCTATGAATATAGGAAGAACCTAAAAATCCTGAGCTAAAAAAAAATAATTAACATATCTATTTTGCGTCACGGACTAACATTCCTTGTTACATTTTTTTCATTTTATTTCAATTTTCAATGATTCTACAATTCACTCTAATTATATAATGAAATGAAATGTTGCTTGAGTACAATTACTTGAGTAAAAGAAGTCAACAATGAATACATTTATAAAGCAAATAATATTAAATTCAATGAGTAATAATAGATTGTCTATGTGAGATATTAATAGAAAAATTAATTGAAGAGATTTCTTCATCAAAACACATCTTTCGAAAACGCAAAAGTAATGTTTAAACCTGTTTGCTTTGATTCTGATATCTGCCTGTCGCGAAGTTTTCTCGCACGTGAAGTTTCATACATTTTTAAGCGAATAAAACTGAATTTCAACTTTATTTTATAAATAAAAATTCCCACTCGCAGATAAAACACGTATATCATAATATATTATTTATATTAATATCAATATCATGTTCATATACGTTATTAATGCATTATTATTAATATTCGACAACGCGAAATATGCGAGAAAATCTAGCCTAAATTAATAATAAAACACAGACAAGAAAACGTTACTACTCACGGGTATAAATACCCGTGGTCACTGTGCTCGTTTGTCAAAAATTCTACATAATACAACCAGTTACTCGTGTCGATTCGGACCTTTCATCCTACGACATGATTGAGTAACTAGAGGAACAAAAATGCATGCGACTCACAATTAGGATGTCCCATGATATCATCGTCGAATCCCATGAGAGAAATGAAGACTGATTAAAATCTGTAACAAAGCATAAAACATATTATTTAGAAATTTCTATTTGAAATAATGAAAAATTGATCTATTGAATATGAAATTTTAATAGTAATATTCAATTTGCAACAAGTACTTACATATTATGAACTAGAAACTCGAACATAAAATAGGACTGGATCGTTTTCCTGTGACTTCTATGGATATCTGCGCACACTAATACGAAACATTTTGAAATTTTATTAACATGAGTACAATATACAGTATTTTAATGTACAAGAACGTTCATTTGAACAATAATTTCAAAACCAACAAGGTATCTAGTCAATAAATATGGAACCATGAACTTTTAATATAATTTATAATTTTACTAATATAATTGTACTATACTAATCGTATATTGTTATAATAATATAAGTAATATGTAAATAAAATTTGTCTATGGATGTTCAAATATTTTCTTGAACCATTGAAATGGAAATACACATATTCACATCTAATCAGCAAATAATTAAGTTCAATATGTAATAACTCTCAAATAATGCCAGATATATTTAATATACTTAACAATATTGCAAATTTTTACCTGACAATTTCTTCCTGCTGTGCTTGCCGCCTAAAATGGGTGCTTCTGCGTCCATGTTTCAATATTATCGAACGATTACAAGAAAATATATCAATCATATCGATTATCGATATAATTGCGAAATCTCGCCGTTTTGTTGGCGCTATGATCTTTACGCGCGCAATTCGCACGTAGATACCTAACCTAGAACAAAAAGAAAATAAGAACTCTCGTCTATACGAGATGTTAAAAATATTTCAATGATATTCACGCATTTACACATTCAAATAGAATTTCTATTAACACTGTAAGAAAATTACCAATATGAAACTGACAATGGTCTCATTAATTATACTTAATGTAGTGTATTGATGACTTGAGTACTGAGATAATTACACAAATATAATTAATGTTATATATACTCGTTATATTTGAGCTTGTTTCAGTTCTGAAAAAGAAAAACGAATAAAAATTCTTAACATATTTTAAAACGACGCACAAATTACGTTAATTTCTACACAGAGTAGTTTACGTTTCAAACGTAACACGTCGCGCAACGAAATTATTTACTGTCCGTGTACTTACCTTTCTCTAACTAGTACCGTTTTCAAATATGTAAGAATATCTGATAAATAAGAAATGTATACACTTACATTTATGTTAAAATTCCGACACAAATTGTCTCTTGAATTGAAGATTTTCAAATGAGCAAACTTTACTCGTTCATTGGTCCAGAGGGCAGTGCAATTCGTTGACTTTAGTGCCACCTATTGGGAAAACGATCCTTCGGCGTCAAACAGAATTTTGAATTACAAAAATGGAGCTTAATCCGTAACCGTTAAAATACGATAGCGTGAAACAAAACGTGTACCTTTAAACACAACATTTCCATAATGAACGATCACACGAAAACGTTGTTACACAACAGAAGAACATCACGCGCACGATAGAGTCGTGGTTATCCGAGTTATTTCAATTAGGCAGGTTATAAACCGCAGGAATTTTACAAAAGATAGTGTTCATACGAAAGTTCGAACACTGAAATTACTGTATTTTTATATGTCAGTTTCAACTTTCTCAATTAGTTTGAGATGAACAAGCAATTGTTATGAAATAAAGGTTCTTGCTCTGATTGGAAAAGTTTTTGATCAGACCGGCTGCTCTGACAATCTACCCAATCAAATGTGAGATAAAGATATTCAAGATACTTTAATTACAAATGAACAATAAAGAGGATGGATTTCCAAAACAGAGAGAAGGAATTTGAAGCACATTATAAAAGAATTTGTGGGAGAAATAAACTACCCATCAGCTATGAGACCCAAGAAGATGAGGAAAAAACAAAAAAAATGGAAATGTCTAACAAAAAGAAAGAACAACTGGAAAAGGAAATGAGGACAGCAAAATGTGATTTAGAAGCGATTCGGAAAAGTCTTGGTAAATATTTTAATAATATCTGTGTTTAACAATTTCTTATATATTTGTTCCTAATGTATTTTACATTTGTAGATGGTGATAGAAATACACGTGCAACAGGTTCAAATGATCAATCCAAAGATATTGAGAAAGATTGTTCTTCCATTTTTGAATTCAAGTTTCACAAGCATCATTCTTCACAATCTGAGAAATTTTCCAAGGAGAAAAGTGAATTGGAAGCACAATTGGATAGCAAGAAAAAAGAAATTCAAGAGAAACAAAAGAAGATATTTGAATTGCAGGAAAAATGTAGTCAGATGAAGCAGTTAGAAGCGCAACTTCAAGAAAAATCAAAAAGATTAGAGGCTTTTAATAAGGAGAGAGATATTCTTGAAAGAGAATTAGTTGCAACAAAATCAGAATTGAGTGGAATAAAAAGAACATTAGGTAAATTCATTTGTAACTCATATATAGAAATATTAAGTAGTGGCTTTTTTATCATCTTGTAATTTGAATATTATCAAAATTATGCTACTACAGTAATCAGTAGAAGAACCATGGAATTTTTTTAAATAGCCTGTGGTCATAATTATTTTGATAATTCATTATATTATTATTTTTGAATGTTTAATATTCAATTCAAATTGGGATTTTGTAATTTTATTAAAAATTGGATTGGATTTGAACCATTATATGCTTAAACATAATTAGTAAAATCTTATGATTATACATACAAAACTGTATGTAACAATTGTTTTATAATGTCAGAGCTAGAACGTCAAGAAAGAAGAGATTTAGAAACCAGAGCTTTAAGTTTAATAAAAGATGCTAAGCGTAAATGGGAAAATGCAGAAAAGGAAAAAATTGCACAGTTAAACAAACATATTGAAACACAAACTGTAAGAATTACAGAATTATGTACCAGTAACAATGAGATGAGTTCAAGATTGCAAAGAACAGAATGTGAACTTCAGACAGCAAATGCAGAGTTACATAAACTTAGAGTATTTCAGGTTAGTAACATGTATGTATACATTTGTGTGTGTATAATGTTGTATTTAGAATTCAGTAAAACATCTTAATAAAATTTCTTTAATTTAAATTAACTACATCTATATGTATTGTAAAAAAGAACTGAAATATTATTATTTTATTAGATGCAATATAAAGAATCACTCGCCAAAACAAGGGAGCTTAACCGGCAAAGTGCACAAGGTGTTGAAACTAAACTGGAAGAAATAGCTGCACGTGCACATAATCAATTAGCTGAACTTAGAGCAAAATTGGATTTAGAAATAGCCAAAAATACAGATTTAGAGACTAAATTAAGAAATGAACAAGATTCCAATCACTGTCGTGAATCAAGACTGAATGTTGCTTTAGAGTTGGCTCAAAATGAACTAAAAGATTGTCAAGAACAATTACGTAGTATACAAGCTACAATACCAGCCAGGGATACAGAGATAGAAGCTTTAAAGAAACAATTACAAGAAAGAGCAAAGCAGTTAGATAATGCTATAACATCAGAACAGGCAGTTGCCACAATGCAGGAACAATTAGAAATGTCAAAACTTGAAAATGAACAACTAAAGCAACAATTACAGGTATACAATCAGTATTTAATTTGATGTAACTATCTATTCGCTTATAAAAATTTTTTTTTTATATGTATAAATATTTCTTAGGTAATAAAGTCTGACTTAAGTGAAACTATGATAAACTTGGAACAGAATGAAGCTCTTGTTTTAAATTTAGAACAAGCTACACAAGATAAAGCTGCTCTGCAAAAGAGATTGCAGGATTCTCTTGAAAAAGAAGGTATATTTGTACAATAATATATGTAAGATAATATATGTAACGAAACATTTTATTTGTTTATAGAAGAACATTTACGTAAGGTTGGCAATTTAGAAGAATTATTACGACGCTTGGAACAAAGCGTTACTAAATTAGAAGCAGAAAATGCTACTCTTAAGATGGAAACTGTACAGCCAAGTACAAGTAGAATATCTGTAATAAAAACGGATACGCATTTAGAAGAGCAAATAGGAAAATTAGAACAAGAACTTCAAACAATGAAAGAAAATTTAAACGTAGAACGTCAAACCGCGAAGCAAGCGCAGATCAGTTTATGGAAGAAGGAAAAAGAACTATCAGATGCAAATTTAGATAAGCGAATTGCAACAAGAGAAATTAAAAGAGCAGAAGAAAAAATTAAAACCTTACAGGAAGAAAAGCAAAAATTAAGTGAAAAATTAGATCACGCGGTAAAAGAGAAAGAAGAGAAGTCAAGAAAGTTACTTAAAGAGCTAGACAGTGCAAAAGCATCATTAAATGACATTACTAAAGAATCTTCTAGAAATAAAATGCAAGCTGATTCGGCTCAAAGAGCTTTGACTCAATCCAATCATCAAATAGAAGAACTTCAGTCTTCAAGTGCGTCGTTACGTAGGGAATTAGATGCAGCAAGGAAACAATCAAGAGTGAATCAAGATCGTGTCGATAGTTTAAGTACCGAAAACAAGCGTCTGACACAGATTATTACAAAACACACTGAAGAAATACGTGAATTAGAATCCAAGATAGAAAAATTAGAACAAGAAATTAGAGGCTATGAATTGAATACTGAACTTCTGAAAGAAACATGCACAGTACTTGAAGAACAGCTTACAGATTACGAAAGATTAACAAGCGATCACGAAACGCGAGAAAATATATTAATTCAAGATAAAATGAAGTTACAAAAGGATCTGGAAGCGACTGAGGCGAAACTTCGTGAAGCACAGACCATACAAAATGAAGAAAGATCATTGAGATTGGCAGCAGAACGGAATATCGAAAGGCTTGAATCTGAAACGAGCGATATAGAAAGCGAAAGAAATGGTCTAATCGCTCAGAGGGATCAGTACAAAAAACTTGTACAACAGTTAAATGAACAGGTCGAAAATTTGACTAGTAAATGTGGGGAATTGGAATGCGATCTTTCAGAAATGAAACGAGCTTTTGACGTCACTAAAGCCGAAACAAGAGTCGTTAAGGAAGAAAGTAGTCAACACTTAACTAGAGTTCACGAATTAAAAGAAGCGAATTTTGTGTTAATGAACGATTTGCAGAGCAGCATTGACCAAGGTCAGGAACTTAGGATGCGAATCACAGAACTAGAAAGTATCTTGGAGGAAATGCGACAATTCTATCAAGAAAGAGAAGTGAAAGCTGAGAGTACTAGACAACAACAAACGAAGCTGATAGATTACTTGCAGTTCAAATTAGAAGAGTGCAGTAAGAAGAAGAAAACAGTGTGTGATAAAATACTTGGTACTAAACAGAAAGAAAATATTCCTCCTAGTGGTACTGGAATGCCAGTTGGATATCGTGAATTAGAAAACCAATTAGCGAAAGAACGTGCTAAAGTTAAAACATTAACTGAACAGTTATTAACGTTGAAAGCTATGCACGCTTCGACTTCTGCTCCCTCGTCTCCTTCAGCACCGGATATTAAAAATGTGAATTATACTATGGAACCATCGACCACTTCGTTATCTAAACGTTTGTCTCCACAAAGAATTGGACACCACATTCCACATCGATTTGAAGTCGGTTTACCAATGCGAGCCGGGAAGTGCTCCGCATGTTTGGATTCTATTCAATTTGGAAAACGCGCAGCAATTTGCAGTGAATGTCAAGTAATGACACATTTGAAATGCGCGGTTAATGTACCTGCTACTTGCGGTTTACCTGGAGGCTTTGCCAAACAGTTTGGTAAAAGTTGGAGAAATAGTGAAGAAAGCTTAACGTCAATGACTGCAAGCGTACAAACATTAGCTATAGATCAACCGGATAAACCCGATACGGTATGATATTTAATATTTTAATCATGTAATTCTATATTTTATAATAATATGTATTTATTATTGATAATAGGATACCTGTGATGTACAATATAAGAACAATGACACGTCAATGGAAAGTTGGGTGAAACTGCCCGATCGTTCTAAAACTTGCTGGGAAAGAAAGTATCTTAAGTTGGAAGGAACACATTTATGTACTTACGATCATCAGCCGTCTTCCGGAATGGCACCAGTAAATCGTATCGATTTAATCGAGAAGAATGGATTTACTGTACTAGATACAGTAACTCATCCAGATGTAATGGGAACAGCAAAATCGGATATACCATTTATCCTCAGAATAGAATCCAATTCATCGACCACTTGTTGGCCGACATCACGTTTAGATATCATGGCTTTAAGTCAAACTGACAAGAAGAATTGGTTAAAGTCCCTGAAATCTGTTACTAGTCAAAATATGAATAATGTTCATAAAAGTAAAAAATATCAAACTATATTAAGACTAGAAAAGAATCAAGTAAGCAATCGTGTTTATTTGTAAAAAAAAAATCGTATCTTTGCTACAAAATTCATTTACGATATGTTTTTAGTTGGACTTAAATTGTGCCGTCAATTTAACTGAAGGAAATGTACTCCTATTGGGTGCCGAAGAAGGTCTCTTTTCCTACAGCGGTGCTAAATCACGAACACTTACTATGATTCGGGGAGTGAAGAGAGTGCATCAATTAACTTTACATCCCCATTTAGGAATTGCTTTAATGATAGCTGGTGAAAATAGACAATTAGTATCTTGTAGTCTAAGGCAATTAAAGAGTAACGCAATAGCTGCCGAATGCTCAAGGCCAGCAATTAATACAAAGGCAATTTTAACTAGCACTGATAGCTGCCATTTATATCAATTACAAGGAGATATGCTTTGTGCAGCAACTGCATCTCATGTAATGTAGGTATTTCTAACTTGATTTACTTTTACACAATTTTCAACATATTTAATAATATTTTCTTATAAATATAGATTGCTTAAATGGTACATTGAAGAAGATTCTGGAGAATTTGTTGGAGTTCGTGAACTTGAAACGTCTGAACCATGTAGTTGTGCCATATTTACTCAAAATGTTCTCATAGTAGGATGTAATAAATTTTTTCAAATCGACCTTGAAAATTATTGTGTCGATGGTAAATAATAAAAATTATTTGCATTACTTCGTGAACTAATTTACTATATAATTAACAATTCGATTTATATCGTATTACAGAATTTCCAGAAGAAGATGATAGCTCAGTCAAAGCTGCACTGTCAGGAGTAGCTAAACTAGGCATTTTCCCAGTTTGTGTCTTAAACGTTTCTCTTGTACCTGGAAAAGTAGAGCTTTTGCTTTGCTATAATGAATTTGGAATGTTTGTGAATGAAAATGGCCAAAGAACTCGAAATATTGATCCAACATGGAATCATTTACCTTTTGCATTTGGTAAAATATAATAATTTTATACAGTATCAATATATAATATACTCATAAAAAAGATTATTTATATTCTTACAGCTTTCCGGAAACCATATTTGTTTATCATTCATTTTTCATCCGTGGAGATCGTAAAACTCGATCAAGATGCGTATACCTTATCAACAAAGAATCCAGAACGAATCTTAATCGAGTTATCTAGTCCACGTTATTTAGGAATAGTTGGATCAAAAGGAATTTACATAGCAACAATGAATTCTTTCTTGGAAGTATTAAAAATTGAAGGTTCTTCTAATATACCAGAATTAAATGGGAGTCTTACTAGTTTAGATACTTTGTACGTTATTAAAATATCACGTGCATAATTTAAAATTATTATATATGTAATTATATTGATGTAATTTACAGAGATCAAGAGGACGAAAGTAGTTCAGAGTTCAGTTTTACGTCGAGTTTAATGGAAGCCTTAGATGGTCAAGGGAAAAAAGTACATTTTACTAGCGTTTCCAAATATTAATACATTTTGATACAAAATTTATAAAGATTCTATTCTTAATGTAATTGTAGGAATTGCAAAAAAATTGAGATCAAGACTGTAAACATTTAATATCAGTTAAGAAAAGTAAGTTTTGACCAATATGTTGCAAGTTGCGTTTGTACATTTAATTTAATACATTCTTACTAATAACTTCTAATTAATGCATAAAGGGATATACTCAAATCTTTTTATCAAACAGGAGACTTTTATTTTATATTTACTTTGTGTTTAATTTTTTTTGAATTAAACAATTATATAGAGTCAGAGTTCAAATGTTTACTAGAAAAATTTATTATAATATTATTATAGTAAAAGTAGTATTAGTTAATCAAATTTGTTATATTTATGTATATCACAAAAAGTAATATTTTACTTTCTATGAGTTTCTTTAAAGTTTTCACGAAGAGATGATATCTAGTACTGGTGACTACACATTAAATTAAAGAATTATAGTAACTACAATACTTATTTAAAAAAAAAAACATGAAATAATATATTTTCAAATTTCTGTATTGATACAAAAACCTTTGTAATTTTGTAATTTAAAATAAAATCCTATTATTAACAGAATAAAAATTTATATGAAAAACATCAAAAATCTATTTAAATAATTATACTTCCATAACTTACTTTATTCATGTTTTTTGCACTAAGAACAATATATTGATTCATTATACATTGTTCATAAAAGAATTTGAAAAGAAATTTCACTTCTTAATTTTATTTTCAATGTAAATATTTTCTTTTCTTTTTTAAAAATGGAAATATCAAATTTGAAATGAAAAAAGCATAAGTCTCATGATAATTTTTTAATAATTATTTACAGGTCGGATAGACCAAGGTTAAACTGTACTTTAAATTTGACTTTCATATAGAAATTTGCCTATGCTTTATAATTAGGGGCACAAAGGGGACACATGTTTATGTAGAACAATGCAACATCCGGCCACCCTTGACATTTGTAATATTGAATCAACGAATATTCATTAAAAATATTTGAAAATAGTTCGATACATTTATAAATGATTAAATATTTAACATGTTTTCTGTTATGCGACATATATATTGCAATTTTAATAATAAATAAATAAACCTCTAATTTTATGAAAAAAAGAGTTTCTGAGAAATCAAAATAAAATGTTATATCAGTTTTAAGAAACGATCTTAAATATCACGTATTGATTGATTACGACAATTCACAATAAATTAAATATTCTTAAATTATTTATATCAAACGACTAACGAAATGAATAAACTCTAAATTGAAAGAAAGCTTGTATTGTTATTTTATACATGTTTTATTATCTATTTTCCTCCCTCGTCTCTCAATTTTATTAAAAAGACAAATATCATATATCACTAAAATAGATAAATATATATATTATTTTATTTTTTAACCAAATTGAAACAGCTACTTGACGAATGATAATTTTCTCAAATTTTTTGGACAATGAAATTTAATCGACTAGATTTCCAGAGGTCATTTCGACCGGGAATCGTTATGCAGATTGACTTCAGGAATATTCAAAACAGAAATAAAATCAACATGTGGAGGGGAAATATTTCGGTATAAGAAGCCTTTTTTCGTTTCTCCAGATCTTTAATCGTGTCGACAGTCTCACGGTGATTTGATTACTCAAAGATACTCGACTAAAATATCCTTCTTTTGATATCAAGATAATCGAGAAGATAAAAATTAATAAGTGAAGCCAAGAAAAAACAAAAATGTCTTGTAACGTAAAAGTAGATCCGATGAAGATAAATTACGCGGCGGTGGAACCAGGAGAAGAAGTGGTAATTACTGGTATCTCTGGAAGGTTTCCAGAAAGTAGGAATGTAATGGAACTAAAGGACAATTTAATGAAGAAAATGGATCTTATCACGGAGAACTACTCAAGATGGAGACTAGGTAATTGAGATTTAACTTTGAATCACTCAGAATGAGAATGAAACTTCGTTGTACATCGACAGATCAATCGGAAGTTCCAAAGGCTGGTGGTAAGGTGACTGATTTATCCAAATTCGACGCAATCTTCTTTGGCGTTCATTACAAACAAGCTCATACGTTGGACCCTATGTGTCGGATGTTGCTGGAACACGCGTATGAAGCCACCGTCGACGCAGGATTGAATCCTAGACAACTCAAAGGAACCAATACCGGAGTTATTATAGGATCTTGCATCAGCGAGGCGGAGAAGATTTGGTTCTACGAAAAGCTACAAGTAAACGTTATTTAAAATTAACTCGTAAGTACCTACTACTATTTCGGATATATTTACAGGCAAATGGTTTCGGTATTACTGGATGCAGCAGAGCCATGTTAGCCAATAGGATCTCCTATTTCTTTGGTTTACACGGTCCATCTTACGCGATTGATACAGCTTGCAGTTCTAGTTTAATCGGACTGGATCAAGCTTACAGAATGATTCGAACTGGAATCTGCGACAAGGTGATCGTCGGAGGTTGCAACCTTTGTCTTCATCCCTACGTATCTCTTCAGTTCGCTCGTCTCGGTAAACCATAATAATTTTATCAAATTCGTAAATCTTTACTTGCTTTAATCAAGTGTATTTTACTTCTGTTCTATTAATGCTCATTAATGTTTCAATTAGAATGTAATTTGAATGTCCTGCATAATTAGAATGTACCTATATGAACGAAGACTCAAGTTTCATGTTAATAAATATTTAATATCAGGCTTACTAGCTCCTGACTGTCGCTGCAAATCCTTCGATGCAAAAGCAAACGGCTACGTCCGCAGTGAGGCGATCAGCGTGATCCTCTTGCAGAAGGCAAAAGACGCGAAGAGAATTTACGCACAGATTGTCCACACGAAAAGCAACTGCGACGGATACAAGGAACAGGGGATTACATTCCCTGCTAGTAATGTTCAGAAAATGCTTCTGACGGAATTCTACAAGGAATGCAAAATATCTCCTAATGAATTGGCCTTCTTGGAGGCTCATGGTACCGGAACTAGCGTCGGTGATCCTGAAGAATTAAACGCTATTGATAAAGCCATCTGTCAGAAAAGGACCATTCCTCTTAAGATTGGTTCGATTAAGTCGAATTTGGGTCATACTGAACCTGCCAGTGGTCTTTGTTCGATAGCTAAGGTATGGAATCTTTAGAATTCTTTGTTTAAATAATATGAGTTCAATAAATACATATTTTAAGATCATCATTGCGATGGAAAGTGGTTTGATTCCTCCAAACATCAATTTCGAAAGTCCCATGAAAGGCATGAAATGCTTCGAAGAAGGAAGAGTCGAAGTGGTCACAGAACCAACCCCATGGAAGGGTGGTTACGTAGGAATAAATTCATTTGGCTTTGGTGGCGCCAATGCTCACGTTTTATTAAAATCCTATACGAAGGAGAAAGTGAACAACGGAGCACCTTCTGACGATTTGCCAAGATTAGTGGTAGTGTCTGGACGTACGCTAAAAGCGGTAGAAACTCTTCTCAATCATGTAAGTAAATTAAATTGTAAAAGAAATTGTAAGAAGATTATAAGAGTAATTAATTATTTTCTAGATTGAAAGTATACCAGTGGACGTCGAATACATTCGTCTCTTCCATGATATTCACTCCGAAAATATAACTGGTCATTTATTTAGAGGATACACACTGGTCGGATCAAAGACGTCAGAGAAACCACCAAGAGATATTAAAGAATATTCTGGCATGAAGAGACCAATTTGGTTCGTGTTTTCTGGAATGGGATCACAGTGGCCTGGCATGGGTACGTCGAGAAATTTTAGCACCATGATTCAAAAGCAATTTACTGGAAAATAATTTAAAAAAATAATAAATTCTATTGGTCTTATCTAATAGGTGAATCATTGATGAAGTTCCCCATCTTTGCCAAGGCCATCCAGAAGTGCGACACGATCTTAAAACCACACGGTGTCGATATCGTTGATATCATCACCAACAAGGATAAGAAGATTTTCGATAATATTTTGAATTCTTTCGTTGGAATTGCTGCTATTCAGGTAAGATGATTGTAAAAGATGATTTTCAACATTTGTATAATAGTAACAAGGGATGTTTATTCAGATTGGTCTTGTTGATTTGTTAACATCCGTGGGTATCGAACCGGATAACATAATTGGTCATTCTGTCGGAGAACTCGGTTGTGCCTACGCGGATGGGTGCTTCACTGCCGAGCAGATGATACTTGCAGCATACTCTAGAGGTCTGGCGTCTATCGAAACGCCAATGATTCAAGGATCCATGGCTGCAATTGGTCTAGGATACGAAGAGATCAAAAACTTATGCCCACCAGATATAGAGGTTGCTTGTCATAATAGTTCCGACAGTTCTACCATAAGTGGTCCAACTGAATCTGTGAAGCAATTTGTTGCCGAGTTACAGGTTTGTTTTGAAAAAATATAATTCTGCAAAATTTAATGATAATTTTTTAAAAAAATAATCAAAACCTGCAACGTCTTCTTCTTTGACGTTAAGTCGATTCATTTTAATCTTTTAAAATTTTCTTCATAATCTTCCAATTGTTTCAGGCAAATAAAATCTTCGCAAAGGAAGTAGCATGCAGCAATATAGCGTATCACAGTCGTTATATAGCAGAGGCAGGACCAAGATTATTGTCATACTTGAAAAAAGTGGTTCCCCAGCCAAAAGCAAGAAGTTCCAAGTGGGTGAGCACTTCTGTGCCTCGCAATCAGTGGTATACGGAAGCTGCCAAGTACTCCTCCGCGGAATATCACACTAATAACCTGTTGAACTCTGTCCTGTTCGCGGAAACAGCGACGCTGATACCATCTGATGCTATAACCATAGAAATTGCGCCTCATGGTCTACTACAGGCAATCCTGAAGAGATCCTTAGATCAGAATGTAACAAACATTGCACTAACTCAAAGAGATCATAAAGACAACGCTATATGCTTCTTGCAAGCCCTTGGGAAATTATATAATGTTGGTCTACAACCACAACTCGCGAATATTTATCCACATGTAGAGTTCCCTGTTAGTCGTGGCACTCCCATGATTTCTCCTTATATCAGGTGAGTGTAACAATGTGTAATATCAAGTCTCTGAACATGTATTCAAAACTAGAAATGCTAATAACGATTCTTTTTTCGATTGATACTTTATCAAAGAATGTCAATGTTAAATTTTCAGATGGGAGCATTCTGAAGATTGGTACGTGCCAATGTATCGTCAAAGTCAGAAGATTAGCACGGCAGAGCGAACAATTGAAGTAGCTCTTAAAGATGAGAACTACGAGTATATGATGCATCATGTGATCGATGGAAGAACTCTAATACCAGCGACGGGTTACCTAATTTTGGTTTGGGAGACGATTAGTTTTTTACAAGGCAAACTTTATGATGAACTGTCAGTGGTTTTTGAGAATGTGAAATTCGAACGTGCAACAACTCTGCCCGCATCTGGTTCCGTTCTATTGACTGTCATGGTTCACAGAGGTCTGTATCTTTTTATTCTCGTTTCAGTTCTAAAACATTGCAAATTGTATTGTAAATTCATTAAACTTTTTATTTATACTTCTTTAAATTTATTTAATATATTATAGTTAATTTGATACTTTTTTAGGATCTGGAAAATTCGAAATATCAGAGGGATCCACGACAGTAGTGACAGGAACAATTCGCGAGCAAACGAATGCAGATCAGCACATAATTCCAGCTAAGTTCTTGACTGAAATCGAAGACGAGGAAGTTCTGACCAGCAAAGATATTTATAAAGAGTTAAAACTCCGTGGTTACCAATATACGGGACTATTCTGTGCGCTGAGGAGCGCATCATGCAAGGGAACGAAAGGACGCATCGCTTGGATGAAAAATTGGGCCGCATTTATGGACAACATGTTACAGATGAAGATATTGACTCTTGATACTAGAGCGCTATATGTACCAACAGCAATTCAGAAACTAACAATTGATGTGAAGGCTCATAATGAAATAATTCGATACCTTACGGAAGAAGATAATGGTAATTTTAAATCTATTAATGTCCTTAAAAATATAAAATTGCATAAATATCGTAATCGTAATGAGATATTGTAATTGTTTTATAGAAATTCCAGTCTCGATATACAATGATTATGACACTGTAATATCTGGCGGAATCGAAATCCGCGGAATAAGGGCCAACGCGATTCAATCTCGAAAACTAACGTCTGTCCCTATCTTGGAAGAATACAAATTCGTAGCTCATCGTGACAAAGCACAAATATCGTTAGAAGAAATGATCATCTTGTCCGCACAACTTGCATTAGAGAGTCACATTATAACCAGCCCAAAGATTCTCGAAGTGATCGATCAGGAAAACAAAGTATCAATTGAAGAAACTCTCACTCCGATCTTTATGAAGGTATTGAGCGATTTACCCGTGATTCGAGCAAATTTGGTTCTTGCCGCAGAATCAGAACGAGGCGAAAAATTATCACTTCCTGAGACTGTTACAATGATAGAACCACAAAAATTGCCAGAAGATGGCAATGTCTTTATGGCAGCTGCTCATGATATTTTATCTAACAAGAGAGCTGACATTTTGGAACAACTTCTAGTTGCAACAATGGACCACGGATTTATCCTTCTTCGAGAAAGTGTTGTCAATAGGGATACTTTGTCTTATCTTCAAACTTGCAATCTGAATGTTGTACTAGAAAAGTCTTTTAAAGAGCAGACTCTGTTGCTTCTGAAGAAAGCAGAAAAACCACCTCAGAAAACAGAAGTAGTGTACGTGAACAACAATGAATTCAGTTGGTTAGAGAATGTAAAGAAAATCTTAAACAATGAGAAAGATAAAGATAGTGGTGAAACAGTAAGATTGATATTAGTCGCAGAAGGAGATATGGAGAATGGTGTTCTAGGTTTGGTCAAGTGTTTAAGAAGAGAGCCCAACGGTGAGATTGTAAAAACTGTGATAATTCAAGACGAAAATGCTCCCAAATTTTCATTGGAAAATCCATTCTACTCGAAGCAGCTTGATATAGACATTGGCTATAATGTCTTGAGGCCAGGAAATATCTGGGGAACTTACAGACACGTTCCTTATCCAGAATTAAAGCCAGTTTTGATTCCTCATGCCTACGCTAATTTAAAGGTATCTTAATATTTGTCGTTATTTAAAAAGAAAATTTAATACAAATTTCCCACGATTATATATGTACTACAGGTAAAGGGAGATTTAAGTTCCATTCGATGGATGGAAGGTTGGATTCAACCAAATGAGAAAGACCATAATATCGTCAAAGTGGTGTACTCTTCATTGAACTTCAGAGACGTGATGTTGGCTACTGGAAAATTGATGGCAGAAACAATAGTGAAGAAAAGAGAAATAAGCGACTGTCTGATTGGTTTTGAGTTCAGTGGAATCGATTCTAATGGAAAACGCGTAATGGGATTCGTCGAGAGCAAGTAAGATATGTCTCAAGTAATAGTCAGTCATGTCAGTAATACAGGTCTTCTGTTAATTTCATAGATTGCTTACATCTTTAGGGCTATATCAAATATGGTCATTCCACATAAATATTGTTTATGGCCAGTGCCAGACGAATGGTCTCTGGAAGATGCAGCAACCGTTCCATCTGCGTATTTTACTGTCTTTTACGCCTTTTATTATTTTGGGAAATTAAGAAAGGGCGAAAAAGTGTTGATCCATAGTGGAAGTGGTGCAGTAGGCCAAGCTGCCATTAACGTAGCTCTCTCTGAAGGCTGTGAAGTATTTACAACAGTAGGCACGCCTGAAAAACGTAAATATATCAGAGAAACATTCCCCAGTATAGACGATGATCACATTGGGAATTCTCGAGATACCAGCTTTGAGCAAATGGTAATGAAACAGACACGTGGAAAAGGCGTAGATATAATTTTAAATTCTTTAGCTGAAGACAAGCTCCAGGCATCGCTTCGTTGCCTGGGTTATCGCGGACGTTTCTTGGAAATCGGTAAATTTGATATGTCTGTTAATAATCAAATTGGAATGGAAGTGTTTTTGAAAGAAATTAGCTTTCATGGAGTCATGCTCGATGCCATAATTAATAACGATTCACTTCAAATAAGTGAAGAAGTATATCACTTCATTTGTGCTCAAATGAACAGAAAATGTATCAAGCCTTTGGTCAGAAAGTGCTTTGAGAAAAACCAGTTGGAGGAAGCTTTTAGGTATATGGCGGCAGGAAAGCACATTGGAAAGGTAAAAACATTATTTATCTCTATAATTGATATCTCATAAATAAATGTTACTCAACTGTTCATAGATTCTGGTTAAGGTAACAGATGAAAATACGCCTTTGAATACACCAATTCTTGCTTATCCTCACTTCAATGCTATAAGAAACAAGAGTTATGTAATTATTGGTGGTCTTGGAGGATTAGGTCTAGAACTTGCAGATTGGTTAGTCCTACGTGGTGCTAGAAACTTAGTAATGGTTTCTCGAAATGGAATCCAAACTGGCTATCAAAAGCTAAGGACAGAGATCTGGAAATCCTATGGAACGAAAATCCTCATAATATCTGGCGTAGACGCGTCGAAAACCGATGATTGTGAGTTTATCCTAAAATCGGCAGAAAAACAGGCAGCTGTGGATGGTATCTTTAATCTAGCAGCTGTATTAAAAGACTGTCTGATGATAAACCAAACTGTGAAATCATTTGAAGAAAGCATGAAACCCAAGGCCATGATCACCAAGAAACTGGACGAACTTTCTAGGAAAATTTGTCCAAAACTTCGACACTTTGTGGTATTTTCTTCTTTGTCATGTGGAAGAGGAACTCCTGGACAGACTAATTATGGCATGGGAAATGCCGTATTAGAGAGAATTTGCGAAAGAAGAGTAGAAGAAGGTTTTCCGGGCATGGCCATTCAATGGGGAGCTGTAGGAGATGTTGGTCTTGCTGCAGAAATGCTAGAGAACAAGCAGCAGCTAGTAATCGGTGGAACCTTACCTCAGAAGATATTCTCATGTTTAGAGGAAATGGACAAATTTTTGTGCCAAAGTAGACCAATAGTGGCCAGCATGGTGGTTGCAGAAAAACGTTTTAACGCTAAAGAAGTTAGCAATGTTCTGGAAGCAGTGATGAATATTATGAGTACGTTCATACATTTACAATTCAACTTACATGTAATAATATTGTTCTTCTATTATAGGTATAAAGGACATAAAAACTGTGAGCCATAATTGTTCCTTGGCTGAATTGGGCATGGATTCTATGATGGCTGTGGAGATAAAACAGACTTTAGAAAGAGATTTTGAGGTTTTCTTAACTCCACAAGATATTAGAGTTTTGAACATTGCCAAACTTGTAGAAATGTCTGCAAAAGATGAAAAGAATAAAACAAAAGAAGTTAAGAAAAGAATAACCAAGACAGAAAAATTAACTGGCATGAAATTGCTGATGAAGACTCTAAACGTTTCTATACTTGACAACCAGTATTGTATAGAGCTTCCAGTTAAATGTGGTGAAAAGAAAAATGAAGTATTCCTTATACCTGGGATCGAAGGATCTGCCGAAGTTTTTGCTGCATTGGCATCAAAATTAAAATTACCTGCCACTTGTTTACAATTAGGAATACATGACAACACTCCGTCGGTGGAAGAAATGGCCGAATCTCTTTTACCAGTATGTTTTAATAATAAAAAAGGAAGGCAAGTCAGTTACAATGCAAAAAAAGTAATTTTTTTTTTTCTTTTAGCATGTTTTAGCAAGGAGTAAAAATCGTAGAAATTTCACAATAGTTGGCTATTCATATGGATCATTGATAGCTATAGAATTAGCAAGAAAATTAGAATCTCATATTCTAGTCGGTGAACTCATACTAATAGACGGATCTCCCGATTATATGAAAGCTATTATATCAGAACACTTAGCATCGCTTTCAGAAAATGAACGTCAAAATAAATTCCTACTTGAAATCTTGAATCTCCATAATCCGCTCTCCGTCATAGAGGTAATTATCTTTTCAATACCAGTCGACTATACTCAATATATGAAATTCTATATTTGATTCTAAATAATTAATGACTAATTCGTTTTTATAGTGCACATTAAAGCTGGACAAGTGTACTAATTGGAATGAAAAGTTAGATGTAATAATCAAATACGCAGTTGACCAAGTTCATAAGATTTACACGCCAGAAGATCAAAAAAGTATTATATCATTTATGTATAACCGTATCTGTGTATTAGACAAATACGATGCCTCTTCCTTGCCACCTCTTAGAACGCCTATCACGTTATTGGTACCAACAATCCCAGCTGTGGTATTTCCAGACCCAGCATATGGTTTGCAGAAGGTAACTGTTAATATTAATTAGTACTAGTAGCAGATTCATGAATTAATATGTATAATATAGTATAATATGTATAATAAAATTATTTTTCTTATTTAGTTAACTCATGGAAATGTGATAGTACACAAGATCGAAGGAAATCATATTTCCATATTGGATGATTGGAGAATCGCGGCAGCCATTAATAACGAACCTTTGGAGGACGCGAAAACTTTTAAGGACAACCTAAATTTCGCATCTAGTGACGGGAAATTAATTTCACAGTCCAAAAATTTAACAGGTTTATCGTAAAAAAGAAAAATAAGGATGGTTCATAATTCAGCAGTATCTAACATTCTGTACTTTCATAATAAATAAATGAAGAACTCAATATTAATGAAACGTTGTCATATTTTTATGCAAAATTATCATACATCCAGAAACATAGCGAATTCATTCATATGACAAACGATCGATATATCACAATAGTCTTATCATTAATTGTTACACATAGTGTAGAAATAAAACTATTTTGTTTCATTTTTTTTTTCTCATTTTCTCGCTGCTCTTACGCATTCTACTATTCTTTTATATATTTTTTTTCTTTTTTTTTTCTTTTTTTTTCTTTTATGAATATCACATACTTATAATTTTAATCGCAATCAAATAAAACATGTCGCATACAAAAGAATAGATAATAACGAAAGATATTGGTAGTTCTTAAACAACCATGCAATTATGCTGTATTAATAATAACTACAATACTGAGTTCCACATTAAACCCATGAAGGTATTTATTGTAAACACCCTTTTTTTCTATTTTCTCTTTTCATCAAGTTTTGCAGACAAATCAAATTTAATATACAAAAGGAACTTGGCATTTTCACATTTGCATTTCCTACTGTAATCGGTAAGTATATTTCCAATAACTACCTAACTTTCATTTAAGAACTTTATACTCATTTACTTTAGACAAACTTGTAGTGTCAGATAAAAAATATAGAGTATGATTTTTTTCCTTCCAATTTTCATACATAATAAAACACGAAATCGCATTTTTTGTTTGTTAACCATATACGAAAATGTAAAAGTAATTTACTAACGAATTAATTTCATAATTCCATTGGCTCGAAAATTGATGAACTACTTGGTATCGTTTGATTTAAATTATTAATATCTGCATTATTATTATCATCACTGTTGTTATTGTTGTCACTGCTGTTATTATTGTTGTCAGTCGCAACTGGAATTGGTGTTGGTGTATCCCTCGTTGGTAACATACGAAGATGTTTGCTTGGCGGTTCCCAAAGGACTAAAGCCATGGAGGGCTTCTCCCTGAAAGGGAAAAACTGTAAAGCTTTATCATCTCTACTAACAAAAATAGTGATATAATAAAACAAACACAGAAAGTTTGATTTAATCCAGTTTAATTTAATTGATTTAATTTAATTTGGCCTAATAATCTAAAATGAAGTTCACATTAAAAACTAAGAACACTTACAGTTTGGATAACAAGGAATTTGGAAGAATAGGTTCCTGTTGGATCCTTTTTAGTTCTTCTGACAGAATTAATCTGGGTCCAGTTTTGATTTGATCTACTATTACATTAGTTACATCCATTTCCAATTCCATATTTAACTTCCTAGGAGTAACTGGTTGCGAGTTGGCTGTTGAAGTCGATGGTACTGGAGATTGTTGTTGATAATTGGGACTAATGTGCAAACCTTTAAAATGTGCAGCCATCTTTTCTTCTGTTATAAACTGCTTTGTTTGCCTCCTGTAGCATTGTATTATCGTTCAATAAATATAAAGTGCTGAAAAAATGAAAAAAGGTCCTTTTGCAACATTTACTTCAACTACTTACATATCTAGCAGATCACAGGCCTCAAGTTTTCTTTTCTGATGGAGAACTGGTTCAAAACTTGGTCCCCCGGTAAATCTGACTAATTCTGGTTGTTGGAGGGATGGCACACTCCATGGTATAGACATTGGAGGCACTTGTGGCATTTGCATCCATGTCCCTGGTTGTTGTGAGGTATTTTGCTGGCCCATCATATGTTGAAATATAGATGGAGGTGTATGGAGATTTGCTCCTCCCATTGCATTCTGAACCGGAGTAGGAGAATAGATTTGATACTGCATAGATAATGCTGCCATATTTTTAAATATTGACAATAATCGACAATTTCGAATACAACAATTTGTTCTTAAAAATTTATAACGATTTATTACAAATTTCTGAAAATTCAGTTTTATCGTTTGTTAAAAATAACAATATTCGTGACGAATAATAGCTTAGTGTTGTCAGATTGTAAATATGACGAAATTCAAGAATATTCTGAATAAAAGTGATACGTTTCCTCCGCAGGATATTTTATTTTGATTTTTTATTAAATCAACATGCAAAATAGTAAATTGCCTACTGTCATTTGGAACCAGAGAACTCGACAGAATGTGCTTGAGTCTTCTAGTGTACGTTGTGACGTGCAATGAATTTCACAAAAGCATCAGTTGTGTAACATATACGTTTTTGGCACAAGTCTTGTGAAAAAAAGGATGTATGACAGAAACGTTTCAAAACACTTCGTCACACAATACAAATCCTTGAACTGTTTGCCAGACGCTAACCTCTATTCGCTCTCGTTTAATTAGGTAAAGTATCGTGTTTATTGTATAATGATACGTAAATGCGTGTTAAACCGGGAATAGTAGGAGTATTACTCCCTAACGATATATTTGTCTACAATACACGCTTTGTAATGCGTGTTACACTGTTCGAGAAAGATCACGAACAGCTAATTATTTGTTTTCGTCTCGGAGCATCACGATTTACAATAAATCAGATGATCATACGTATAGCAGATATCAGCGAATAGTCTGACTGACAAATATTCCGCGTGACTATATCTTCACTGGTGCAAATACATGCAAGTATTATTAAGAGTCTCGAATCACGCAATAAAGTGTAACTTTATTGCGAGACAACGGCAAGTTGCACTACTCAACCGTACGCTTGGGACTCTAATAATGCGTTCTTAACCTTTAAACTACGAATTCGACTGACTTAAAATGTTTGCGCATGCGCAAACTTTCATCGCGGCGGAAAATGTCTCTACAAATATCTCGAATATTCTCGATATTTAGACGAAACAAATTCATCTAAAATATAATAATTATAATAAAATTATAATAAAATATAATGTCACTAAGGTATTTAAACACTAAACGTAAAACATTTCTGTGTACAATTATACAGGATGTTCCGTAATTAGTGTAGCAGATGATGCTACAGAAAAACGTGTGTCGAAAAGAAAGAATAAAAATTTTTTCATTAAAGCCTTCGAAAAAATCGAGTTTGAGAATTTAGCAAATACACTCGAATTTAACAAATTCTAGATGTGACAAAAAAGAATAATTAACAGGAAATTAATTATTACTCCACATACAAAAGTAAGTAAAAAACATAAAATATAGTTTTATACGTGTGTCGTTTTCGATTTAATTTATCGTTTTGATAAATTTTCAAATTTATCTTCTCAAAAATACAAGCTTTAATGAAAAATTTTGTTCTTTCTTTTCTTCTCGTTTTTTCACGTTTTTTCATCCTACTCGGTTGTACCATTAGTTACAGATATATACACACTCTGGAACATTCTGTATACATAATATACAATACTGTTTGAACAATACGTTTCGTAAACTTTTGACGAAATCTTCAAATAAAATTTTTCGTTTCCACATAATGTATTTTTACAACATTATAAATATCATTTGACATAAAGTACACAAGTACACGTGCGAAACTGACACGTGTGAGTACGCAATAATATTCATTACTAACGCCTTGAGATATGCAACCAGGTTTTCAAGAGAGCAAAAGAATTACATGTTGCCTTGCTGTAGGCTCAAGTAAAGGAAAATCATACATGTACATTATTCATTCTATTCAATCAATTGTAGTTTTACTTCGTGAACAATTTAATTTGCATAATTTCCTAGAATTGTTTTGCATCATTATCTCAAGATCAGAGAAAATGAGGAATAACAGTATTGTTCACAAATTACGCGTATCAATCGAAAAATTTTACACTGTCACATTCTGAATAACATTAAAAACATGCTGTGTTATAATATAAAATATACATTTTAAATTCTTATTCCACACAGAAAATTTACCTGCATCCACCTGCTCGTATCTTAATTTGATAGCGCTGTAAAATCTGTTTAGTTTTGAAAAGTCAGTACATAAAATAAGATGCTCTATCGTCATTCTTCTTTTATTCAGATCTCAATCTCGATTCCCTAATCTTTTCTTGAAACACAATTGACTCAGAAGATAATATGAATCTCCAATCTTGTTTCTCCTACTTACAAGCATCATTTCATTATTTGAAAAAAGAGTTTAAAATTTTAATAAAAAGATAGAAATAATCCAATTAGATTTTTCCGACTTTGTTTTATTACCTACAAATAAGAAGAATTCAGTGATAAGTATTTAAAAGTAAATACTAAAAAATATATTAATCTTTAAAAAAAAAAAATGAAAATACTTCAACCAGGATTTTCCAACTCGATTAGTTCTCTCTAACTTTGAGCATACAATTGAATATGCAAATAAGGCCGTGAGTAAATAAAAATTTTCCTATAAATCGTCGATGGCACACATTCATGCACAACTCCTTGAAATCTGTCTTGCATCGTCGTGCACCTACTGCACAGAATACAAATAATGAAGTACACAGTAACCATGGAATAATTTTTATATGTATAAAATGATCATTCGTTATGACCTCCGTTTAAACGCTACAGAAATTGGAAATGCGACGAACGCATCCTAAACTAGTGAATATCATCTACCGTTCATTTTTTTTTACGGTTCGGCGACGATCCGTATCGTCGAACCCTGCAACATAATGCAATTCGAATCTGTTCCCCGAGAATTGCTTTTCCGCAACTAACGTTCTCATCTCATTCTCCGTTTCTGTGGTCATCAGGATGGTTTTTCCACAGCGATTCCCGATAAACTCGTATATCAATAAATCAATTCCTATACATCACTTATCTGCATACAAACACGCGAAAAGCGCATGAATTTTCAAATTCCTCTGGAATATTTTTTTTTAATAGGAAAATTCTAATAACGGTAAACGCAAATATTCTTCTTGAATATTTTTTAATTATATCTTAGTTAATTATCACTCAAGTGAACAGATAATTCTAATTGCACGTCACTAATGCTATTTACATTCGCGCTTCTATATTGAATAATATTTGATCGTGTTAAGGTAAGGATAATAAGAGAGAAAGAAATCAGTCTGACACTCGTAGCAAATAAACTTCTATTTATGAAAACATGGAAAGAGTGGTCAGCTATATGCAGCTATTTATGAGACTCGCGCGGAGGAATTTCCCTTTTAGCGGCGTAATTAATTACACCGTTGCCTCGGTGGCGTCTCGATACCTAGTCAGATACCTCCGCGTGCACCTTATCTCCTTATCCAAATGCAGAAAAAACAAGCGTCATTGGCCGCAGTCACATCATTCAGTGGAGACACGTGAGAAACGCAGAACGGTCAGGCAGAGCAAGCACACGTACATTAAGCCGTGTAGCCGGTTATTATGTAGCCGATATGGCTCCGAAGCAATTAATACTATTGTTATGATTCAGACGAATACGTCATGTGCGCTTGAACAACGATGCAACCATCGCGTTTCGGTTAGTATTCGACAATAGAGACTCGCGGTTACTCGTTCCCGGCTCGGCCCGTTCCGCGAAACGTGCTCCACTCCGCTCGCGCTTAAATTGCTTTCTAAATAATATTTTAAGAAATGCACGCATGCAACGGCCGCCTGGAACGGATGTAATTAACCGCTCAGTGTCGTGAGAATACATGGTATCGACAAGTAACCATTTGATGTGGTTTCGTTCGTTTTATTTATTCGTTCATTGCGAGCAAAATCCTGAATTGGGAGCAGGTGATCAAGCAACAGATATGAAACGCGATGGAAGAATTGAAATACATGATAATTGCACGGTGATTGTGTAAACCTGTGCACGTTGCAGTGACTCAACTCATTGGAAAGGAAATGATAACGATGAACCTTCGTGAAAACCGTGGAACGATTTTGTGACTAAGGCGTAATCAATGAGGTGGTAATAAACAGCCTTTGTAACAGATGTTTACATGAGAGATATTGAAACGAGTAGCAAAGAATAAACAAGCAATTATGTCGAATAAAAATCTATCTGAAAAGGAGTCTTCGCATAGAAACAGTATTACGATACAGGATGAAAAGGCGGCGAGTGACAAGTATAGCAAGGGCAACACGATCTCCGCGCAAAAGAATCCGGAAGAAGTTGTCAAGAAATCGAGTAAAGCGACTCAGATTGATTTTATCCAATTATCTTATGGTACACAAAGAATCAGACCGACTTCTCTGGCCTATTTGCCAAAGCAGACGCAAATGAGCGAATCCAGTTATCCCTGTTATAATTCCAGAAGTTCTTCCTTATGCCCGTCTCAGAGTGAATTAATTCTATCGCCGAGAAACAGGAACAGTCGTTATGTAGCTTTAGATATGAGATCAATGGGTAGCCTTCCACTTTCGAATAGTCACACTTCGATAAATAACATGCCATACACTTGTTGTTGTACGTGTGTGGGATCACCTGTACCTCCAACACCTTCCTCACAACAGACGGAGGAACAAGATGGTCCTGAAAGTCTTTCATGGAGAAGACTTCACATGAGCAGAGCTAAACTGAAAGCAACTGCGACAACGTCGGAGTTATTGAGCGGTTTCGCCATGGTGAGCATTATGTTTCGTCATCGTGTGAAAACGAAGACGACCATGACGATTTATTACGATATTTAGTCGTCTATTAAAATTCCTTGGACGGTTGCTTATACGATGATGATCGATTACGCTATTAGTCGTCCATACGTTCTCCTTAATGATGCGCACAGATATTGAACATCAATGCGACAATATGAACATGTATTCTTTGTCATCGGTGAATCCTTATAACAGGAAGGGAGAATTCCGTTGTAATAAATTCCAAAATGCTTATTGTTGTACATTCCTTTCGGGCGAATTAATTTTCCAAGAAAATCTATGTTTGTATAATCAGAAAACCCGCGGTGGATTACACAACATTTCCTGAAAATCATTAAACAGACGTGGACGACAATTCCGTGTAATCTTCAGTCTCGTCTATGATTACATAAGACAAATATCACTTTCTTTAACAATACACTTCGGATTGACGTAGCTGTAATTGCTTTTACAATGCGCTCTGTTGAATCGCGTCGAAAAAGTTCGTGATCTCATCCAAAACCGTGGAAAGCACATATGAATCGTATAAACCAGTCAAAGGCTGCAATTATATTTCTCAGAAAATACATGCTTTAATTGGCCGGCATTAAAATCGTGTCAATCGATTTTCATTGTTTTTTTTCTTTTTTTTATTTTTTCAGGTGGCTATGGTTGAGCTGCAAATAAACGAGCCAACCGCAGTGCCGGAGTGGTTGTTTGTGATGTTCGCTGTTTGCACAACCGTTCTAGTATCAGTACACATCTTTGCTTTAATGATAAGCACGTATTTATTGCCCAATATTGAGGCCGTCAGTAAACTTCACGTATCTCGGCTTGTCACGGAATCTCCTCATGAAAGAATGCGCGGCTTCATCGAGCTGGCTTGGGCATTTTCCACGGTATTAGGATTGTTCTTGTTCCTAGTGGAGGTTGCTATACTGTGCTGGGTGAAATTCTGGGATTACTCGTTCACCGCCGCCACTGCCAGTACAATTATAGTAATTCCAGTGCTCATAGTGTTCATTGCCTTCGCCGTTCACTTTTATCATTCGTTGGTTGTATATAAATGCGAATCCTCGGTGACTGATATAAACGAGTTGGAGAGCATCAAAAGAAATTTAGATAACGTGACGATGAGACAGAGCAGCGTGTGAGATGATTCTGTAAGAGATTGTCATCATGTTCATCGATCGTTGTGTCCTTGCCTCCTAAAATATGTCCCAGAGTGTATGTTATTTACTCGCGTTTTATTCCGTAGCGGTATTGTAATCGTACTTAATGATATATACGCTATATTCAAGTACACGTAAACAATGATGGAAAATGAACACATGTAAGTTTATTCAATAACTTTACTTATTCAACACGAGCACGCACGAAGCACGATCGTGTGCTTTTTTATTATATATAAAAATGTACATAGCTGTACACATGCAAGTCAAGAATTGCAACAGTACAAGCAAAGTGCTCTTATAAGTATATTAGCTATATTATTTTAGCATTTAATTATATATTATTTATGACTTAATTTCCGATTTTTTCTTTTAAATGTATTCTTCTCATTTACTTTGCTTTTTATTTCATACATTTCGTATCGCTAATATGTATGTATATATATATATATATATGTGTCATTTTTTGTCACTTAGTTTGTGGGAAAACTGAAGGACAGTTAAGTGTGTTACTTATGTACATGCTTCTCATTCTGAAACTTGTTATCCTAGTCAAAATAAATAATCCATCAGACTTAAAGACTCTCGTTAATTAAAACGTGGCTCGTTACGTACATTTATAAAAAAAAGGAAATATAATTTTACGCACCTTTCATTTTCACCATAAACTAAGTTATAATCTTATCGATCAATATTTTCTACATTGTTATGTATTAAATTCTGTTTGTACAAAAAAAGAAGCAATATGAATTAAAGAGATGTAATTAAAGCAAGAACATAATACAATCATTTCCCTATATGAAAAAGTAGTTCATTGATTAATTCCTAATAACGAAAGCATTGAAACACATTTTATTATTGCACAATATTTTTATATAATGATATATATATCATGTGTTTTTCTTTGTTTTAACTAAAATGTTCAACTAAACATCAAAATATGCTGAAACCTGCTTTTTCATTCGATAAATTAAATCTTGAATTACAAGGCAAACGAAAAACAGACGATAGGAAATTAATTCCTAATGTTAATAGTATGTACATTCAATGAAACAAGAAGCTCAAAATGGACATTATGAAAATATTAATCCCATATTTTCATTACTTAAAAAAAAAAAAGAAAAACGAACCATAAAATGAGTTTTAAGCTTTCTGGAGTTTAATAGAACGCAGTTAAAGTCATCCACTTTATGGATGATATCAAGTCTTCTTTTTTTATGTTTACAACGGAAGTAGCTAAAATATATTTTGTCACTTATATTTTTATATCTTATGAGAGAAATAGATATTTCTTCTGTACGATTCGTCTAAAGATTATTTCTTCAAGACGTGTAATGAATAAGAATAAATTGCTTGTGCTATGGACAGGTAAGCGAATAAAGTATAGGAAGAATCACAGTTTTATACAAAAACTAATTAGATCGTATAAAAAGGAGTATTTTTATCAGTGTAATATCTCATATAAATTGCTTAAATTCCTTTCATTCACGTTAACGTAAGCAGAAAGAAAAAAAAAAGGAAAAAGAAATGTATAAAAACGATTACATATACAAATAATCTTTTATCGTTTTTTTAAAAAGTTTAGAATTATTAGTTTTTGTATAACACTATTTAACATCGATCTATTAACATTATAAAAGTAAGGACAAAATGTTTAAGAAAAAAATGAAATATCGAAATTTTTCTAATGAACAAGATTGCAAGTATAATATCCTTTTTTTCTTTCGTCCAAGTTACAGTTTAGAGTTTACTTTCTATATCAATATACAAGTATACAAGTTATAATTAGTTTAAACCGAGAATGTATTTCTGTATCCGATGATTTATCACACCTAATACCATAATATACCATTCTAGGTGCAAAACTGATTACATTAAAAATGTATCACTCTCCTTAAAATATTCTTATCCATAAAATACATTTACAGATCAAAATTCAAATATACATATAATTTGTTCGTAATCTTTAGAATGTGATGAATAAAGTATTATAAAAACAAACAGTAAACAACTAACATGTTTCAAGTTCTAGATTCCTTTGTAATCTATAGTAAATTATACTAATTATGAAAGCAATTATTTTACTTTAGACACATTGCGCAATATTGTATTATATATCATACTATACTGTATCATATCAATCTACGATCTTATAAATTGAAATACAAGAAAAATTGAACAAAAAGGATTGATTATATCTTTCTGAGAGATCTCTAAATATGTTGGCTTTCGTACAATATTACTCTCTCTTTCAGTCTTGTTTTTAAATAAACATATAAAATCTTTCTGATGCCTATCCATAGCAAGAGCTTAGTTAAAACACTATATTTCAATCATAAGTCCTTCTTTCTTATCACGAGATAGTTCTTGAAAATCAAGACGCAAATACGCAATTTACTTTTTTTTCTCTCTTTTTTTTGTTGACATAAAATTCTACAACTTTCACTTTTCACTTCTCTAAAATTGTTTGCAATTTCCCATCATGCTACACAAAGTTAGCAAGATATTTGGCAAGTTGAAATGCTTGCAATATATGCTAATAACGAACTGTAAATTTTTTTCTTAAGTTTATAAAAACCAAAATTTATATACACGTTGCATAGAGAATACTTTGTTCAATGCTAGCTCCAAGTAAAAGAAAATCACAACCTACACACATACGTTCACTAGATTTTCATGGAAATCGTCGAATAATTATTAAATTACTCTATCCATAACTACACGTTACATACAATTAGTTTGATATCGATTGAATAAATTAAAAAGAATCTTTCTGCATAGAGAATATCACACGCATTTATAACGGAGTTATAGCGAAATTAATATATATATATATGTTAATAGTTTAGTGTAAAAAAGAAGGAATAAAAAATTGTGTATTTTGAAAACATTATAAATTTTTATAGTAAAGTCACTGTAAAACTTAAAAAAAAAGATACTTGTCCATTTTTTTAGGTGACTCTCAGAACACGTTTTTTCGCATTTACTAAACTATGAAGTAATTGATAAACAGTATGTAGTTATCTTATCTATTACACATAATTCATTCATTTACTCAACACCGAATTTAAGACACAAAATGAATATTAACGTTATGTCGATAATAGTCAGTATTTTAAATACGCTTTCCAAGAATTGTTTTAGCTTTCAATTTAATAAAAAACTTTGTCATTACTTGTATTCAATATTGTATTAAATCAATGTCGTACTGCAGTATACCTTTACATTTCCCGTATATGAAACCGTAATTTGCATTGTAGCATTAAAAGACGCATGTGTAAAAAAAAAAGTTACTTACATTAAATGACATTGATAAAAATAAGGACGTTATGATAAGTGACAATGGGATTCTACAAGTAGTTTTCCTCCCAATGTGTAATATACACAAACCCATGACTGTTGTCAAACTTCCATGTGTTTGGAAGGTTGCTGAGATATGAATGGTTCGCTCCACATCCGACGTAAATCACCCTGTAAATAGCATATTCATCACAATTTACATCATCTACACAAAAAAAATTAAAAGTACTAAATTAAAGTACCTTCAAGTACGCCATTGTGAGTAATGGCAACAAAGTAAAGGGCACAAGGTACAATAAGGCAGGTTGCGCAGCTTTGAACACCTCAGAACTTACAGTAGCAGTAAGTAAACCAAGAAAATAACCAATGAGCGAACAATGAAAATAGCTGATGCGATTAATGTGTCGTGGCGGTGGAACTCCTGTTTCACAACCACCAGGCAACAATTGAGTCTTTTTATACGCGTCATATCGTAAAACGAAGCAAAGCAGTAGTCCTGGCATAACCACATCGCCAAGACCTAACATTGAAAAATGTCCTGCTTGATGCATTGATGGAAACACTAATTTTCCAGGTAAAGGAAGTTTCGGTGCTTCTCTTGCTACACCACCTAAGTGCAACCTTCTAGCCACAAGATTCACTGGATTATCTGCATGTCTAGTTGCTACCTGTAAATAAAATACACAAAACAGTTTAATATAAGCTAATTTATCACAAATTTATTGAAACTTACCTTAACCATTACGTTTGTGCTGAATATATAAGATGAAAAAAAAACCCAGAAGACATCATAAATGAGTAGTCCAGTTAATAGTATGGTGGATACCTTTAAACTAGGTAATCGAATGAATGCAATGAATGCTACACAAAGTCCCATACCCATTGCGTCCATGAGTAGCCAATGCCCAGTCAGTACCCAAATACAGACTATACTCACACTTAATGAAAATGAAAGTAATTCTGCACCAGTAAACCTTCCACAGACACCAAAAGATATTTTATTACCATCTGAACATGGTCTAATGATATATTGACACATGGGTAAAAGAAGAAATGCCAATGCAACTGCAGCTACAACTGCAAAATAAATGTTCTTAATTTGATGCGTGTTCTTTATATGTGTGATAACAATCACAAAATGTACTATTCTATAAAACTTACTGGCTGTACAGATTGCTACAAGCATTTGCATGCTGTCAAAAAAGAAAAACATGACGAGTAGTGAAATGGAAGCACCAAGAGGTAGACAGAGAGCATGCATTGTATTTAGGGTTTGAACTCTTCCATTAGCACCATCTGCATTTGCTGTGCTGCTGTTACTCAAAATTCCAGTCAATAAATTACTACGTTCTTTTTCTTTTTCCCTTTCTCTAGCTTCCTGTTCCATGTTTAGAGATCGGAAACTGCCATAGACTATCAATAAAATTGATATTAGGAAAGTGGATATCCTAGATGAATCCATTATAGTATAAGCCCTAAAATGTTGAACGACTGTTGAATATCAGTATTAATTTTAATAAAGGATTATTTAATTAATTATTCGATGTAACATTTGTCATAAAATTAATATTAATTGTAAGACTAACCACTGATAATCAACTTGATACGTGGCCATCTTTAAAAATGCCTGGCCAAAGCATAAAACACTATGCTAGGACACCTTCTGACATTTAGATGTCCTATTTGAAAGTGCTTTCTGCTTGCACTAACCTATATCAGAGATCATCTGTAATCACTGCAAGTATAACATATTAATATCTACAATATAAAAATCTGCGAAATAAAATAAAAGTACATAATACATAGTTATTGTACCTGCAACGCTGTGCATTCAACATTGTCAGTAATGGAATTAGGCCTTGTATAACTTCGGTCACCCCCTTTAAAACATAAAACAAAAATACAATATCAATGATGTTATACGATGAAAAATAAACCAACCAAAATTACTATCAAGGTTATTACATAAAGATACTAAGCCTAATCATCCAGAATGGGAACATAAAAATTATAATAAGTGATAGAGATACATAGATCAGTGAGTTTTACGAATTTTTAAAATGTTGTAATTAATATGGCACATTGTGAAAAAATGCGCTCCAAATTTTCGTAGGAAATCAGAATAATTTACGTCTACTGGTAAAAACCACCAAGAGATTAGACGCGGAAGACACTTTCGTACAGCTACTTTCAAACTTTCGCTACAATCATTTGTGACAACCAAACGCTGTGCAAATGCAACAGTATCAGCTACAATCGTTCCTTTGCGAGACTTTAACGCTAACAGTAAGTTTACTGTAACTCCGTTTCATTGAGCATATCATAGGTGAATGGAACATGTATTAGAATGAAATGAAAATTATTTGTAAAACATAGACGTACACCATTTTGGTAAACAGAAGGGTCACGTGACTAGCTATGGCCCCAAGAGGTTGCTACTCCCTTACCCCAGATTATGTCTCACCGTGATGTATTAGAAATTCAGCCATCTCACCTGGGCGGTCCGAAGTCTGGCCCTTTTGTACGTTCTCTCATCACCTCATGTATACTGCACTGATTTCTGCGATAATGAGTCAAAACCACGAGAGAATACGGAAACGCGAGAAAAGTATATTAGCGCGCGATCGGTCAACTATCACAGTCAACTACACAGGTCAACTGTTTGTGACAAGCGCAGACCTGCGTCAACCTTTTCTACTGGGTGTTCGAAAGGCACTAACATTAACAAACTAATATACGCGTGGTAATAATAAACGGTAATATGCATCCGTTTCGCTGTTTTGAGCAATATTTTTCTCTTTTAAAATACTGTACGGAATATTTTTGTCGAATTTTACGAGTTATTCTTTCAATAATGAATTTCGCTTTGAAACATGCAACAGTCAGCACACAAAACTATATTTCATTATGTAATAGTTATACATTACGTTTATTAATTGCAGATCTTTAATTTCACAGTACAGATCAAGAATAATATTATGAAGTACAGATCAAGAGTAATATTATGAGTTACACACTATTTATAATTTATAATTCTTAAGCATTAAATTATAAAAGGAACATTTATTATACGTTTTGACGTGCGTATTGTACTTGTACTTTTCCTTGATCATCCCGAGAAAACTCAGATTACGTCAATATATTAACATAAATCGTTTTACTTGAAGCTAATATATCTATCTAACTTGGAATTTTATTCAATAAATGCTTGATTATATGTTGATTATTCTTTTATATTGAAATTTTGAAACATTTAATACAAGTGTTTGAAAGTTGCTTTATTTTAGAAATGAGTTCTTATTTAGAAATATAAGCTATTATATTTAATGCTCATGTGCATCATATTTACATACTAATAATTAACGTATAAATAAAGAAATAACACGTGCAAGTCAACAAATTTTATTATTAATTAAGATTAAATATTTTAAATCTTAATCTAAATCTTAAATAAATGATTCAATAAAGTTGAAACTTATAATCATAAACTAGATATAACATAGATGTAATATTTTAAGAAAATTTGTATCATTCGAAGTGAAATATCGACTGAAACGAATTAGTGGTTTTTGCGCCCTCTGTGGTTTATACTGATAATATTAAAATATAAATTCCAAAAATTAAATACTAAAATTAATAAATGATAAAATTAATAAATTTAAAAATATACTCATCTGCACTTTCAAATCTTATAACATAAAAATTCATGAAACATTGAATCTATGTTATATCTTGTTTATGGTAGAATGAAACAAAATTATAGTATAGAATTGGTCGTATATTTAGTAAAATTTTATAAATTTAATTTTATCATCACACACTTATTAGTACTAATTAAGAATTATACGTGAATTTTAACGATTTTTTTGTAACATTATTAATACTTTAACTTCAGCTTGTGACGTGAAAAATTCTTTATTAATGTTACATATTTCAATGTATTCTGCACATACATCTATTCTATTTATAAATATAACAATATTTTTATTTACGCTTCAATATACTTTTTACAGATTGCTTATATTTTATATGTATTTATACGCAATTATTTTAAACATAGTTTTAAATGACAAACGGGAAACTGAGTCGATAACGTTGTTGCTCGTTTTCACATTATCGATAAAGTAAAATAACATTGAACCCAATCTTTCATAACTTTACCTTATCGAAATAAGAAACATTTAATTATCTAAATCAAACAATTAATACATGTAGCTGACCGAAGTTTTCGTATTTCTGTGTTTATATATATATACGCTACAAATACGTGAGGTGATTACGTAGTTATTAATACATCGAAATTCGTAATACACTCTTCGTACGGTAAAACGAAGAGGCACTCGAGTACTTGTTACTTGTGTGATCTGCTCAGATAAATTAAGAGCTTGGTTTCATTCGAAGATAATGGTCAGTATCAAACATCTAATCGAAGAGTGTACAGAGTGCTTCTTCTTCATGACATTTCTCGTAATTGGAACTATTCGCCCCAGCAGACCATACGTATATTTCACCAAATGACAGAACGAATGTATTTTCGTTGGCGTATTCGTTCTAAGAAGTATGTAAAAAAGAATTTTGTTGAATTCCTGTCGCGTGATAAATCTATCCATTTCGTTGTTTGTCATTGGCATCGTCGACTGTGACGCGTGCGACATGTATAGAATTTTTCTTCGAAGATCAAATAGGAAAACATGAAGAATGACAGTAGCCCTGTACAATCCCTTTCGTTTCGACGAGAACTAGTGACTTTTTTTCGTTGATTTACATCCAGTTTCGATATAGTCTGAACTCTAAACGATGCGAAGACAACAAAGAAAACATATGCTACAAATTTCGAAAACATTCATTACAATTTATTCCTCGAAATTTATGGTGTAAGGATTTTTTATCGTCGTGCAAGCGATCGATTGTTGTTTTTGTTCGTGATACATCGAAATATGTTATCGATCTTTTCCCATGAGAAGTAAAAAAAAAAAAAAAACAAGAAGGGAGAGGGAAAAACACGATTCGAAAAAATTGCAAAATCACAAATTACCCGTAATCAAATTTGTATGTGTATGTATACACGAACGTTATATAGGTGACTAGGTAATAAAGGTTAAGCACCGTCACCAAGGAACGTGGCGGGTTACCACGCTGTACAAAAGAAGGGACCCATACTATATCCAAATACCGTGCTTTTAAGGCACGTTCGCGAATCTGTTGGTATTGCTGCTGGTGTGTTGCGAACTTGCAAACAGTGTGTATAAGTAGAATTTCGATCTAAGAGCGTACAGTCCGTGGGTTAGAAGAATATCAAAATGGTGGCTGTACGATACGGGTGATGTGTACGCAGATATTGGAGTGCATTGTAATTTCAGGAAAAACACGTGTGAGCACGCAGCATATACTAAAATGGGTGACCCGAAGGCTCAACACGGTACACAAGAGATGAAAGGCTGGCTCTTTAAATGGACTAATTATTTAAAAGGTTATCAACGAAGATGGTTTGTCCTGTCAAATGGCCTACTGTCGTACTACAGGTAGTTTCCTACGTGTCAGTTACTTTCGTTTCAGTTACCTTCACTTTTAGCCACGTTTAAATTACATTAGAACCCGATGTGATTTTGTACTCTTATAAAGCGAATAATATTTTAACACGGATTTTCGTTCCGTCATCTTGTCTATTTCCAACAGCATAATAATAATTATTGATAGAGAAAATTCGTTTAAATACAATACGGAGTTGTCCCTTCTTTATCATTTCAAATCATTTACACTGGCTATATGTAGTTCCTAATAGAATGACATGCTCAATTTGATATGAAGTAAAATTTGAGAAGGGATTGTAATAATTACTTCCATAGCTCTATAACCTTTCTTAGGTATTATATTTATATGTATATACATATATTAGATGGATAATAACAGTAAGTTTGGTTTATAATGTTTTACTTCTAATTAAATGAAGAGTGTAAATTTTTAAATGGCTTTATTATTTATATGACATATAACATGTAAGCATAACATTATATTACATGTAAACAGATATGTGTTTACAACTGTATGCATACATTTGCATCTTATATTTTGTATAATACCATAAGTAAAAATGTTGTCTTTCTATTAAATACGATAAAAAGATGAAATTATTGATCTAAAAAATTTAGGGAACAGCTGTGGATTAAGTATCTAACATAGTATTTGATCAGCTGTTAGTGTTTAAGAACATAAGTGAAGTACAATACTAAACATTTAACAGTTTGAAGTTGCATGTATATAAGCAGGCTCGATTATGGATATTATTGATATGGTTTATCCAAGTATATTTAACTGAATTTAATCACGATTTCGTTTCCAAAACTCATATTTACATATTCCATACTTATCCATTTTAGTTTGAGTAACATCCTTGAGCATGTACATGCCGCAGAATGTGTTGACATCTACGTTAAAACGATTAGAAAGCATTGACAGAACAATTGACTGATTGTGAGGACCGTACATTTTGTATATATATAAATACACACACACACACACACACACACATATATATACATATTTGCTTATATTTACCACACGCATCAGAGAAGATTTATTGCATATTTGCCTTCTCCTGTTCTTTTTTCCAATACAGTGAGATTTTACATTGAATGATGTTTGATTTACTTTTGTATATAATTTTGTGGGAGAGTTAGAAGATTGCCAAATATTATTTAATCATCGTTAGTCATGTAACAAAGTTGCAACGTTTTATTTCCACTCGGTCTGTCTGATCTCAATTATCAATCGTGGATACAAGTGAGGCAGTTCTAAAGAAATATAACATATCATTCATTCTACTATTCAATTTCTTTATATTTAGATCATCCGCGTTCCCTAACATTCAATGCCTAGATCTTTTAATTTTCCGCTTGGCACAGTTGTGTGATTTGAGTTTGCAATGCCTTTTTAAATTGCAAATGTCCTGCAAATTTTATTTTTACAAGAACTTCAAACGTCGTGACCGTCGAAACTGCTTCTCGCACAAAGTGTGTACACGCAACGCACGAACGTGATGGTTGCACTGTTGCTGTATAAAAAAAGAGAGAGCGAGAGAGTGTATGCGTGGAAGAGAGAGAGAGAGAGAGAGAGAGAACGAGAGAAAGGAAAGCAACCAACGCAACGAATTATGTATGAAAGAAAGAAGGAACATGGCTATATCGCGAGAATTTGCAGTAGGATAAACAGCAACAGAGATGCAATCTTTTCTCAAACCAGTTAAAAAAAAAAAATTATCGCTTTGATACAATATTACACAATGTGAACGGGGTCTATTTGTTTTATGGACTGTTTAGGGCTGAACCAACAGGGGGGCCAAAGATATCAACACGACGCAAGCGGAAGGCTGGCAGAGCCTCCGAGTAAGTAAAATTATCGAAGAAGCCGAAATATCCTGACTCTTCTATGAATCAAACTTTTTAATTAAAACAGACAAAAACGATGTTCGAGTTTTCATTTTCATTTCATTATACAGTTCTTGCCACATTATATATATATATATATCTGTATATGTATATATATACATATTTGAGCTGTATATTAAATTAATACAATATTGTTAATGTTCCTAATAATTTTACTTGCTTCCTGTCCACTTCTTACCTTTTTATCATAGATCTAATTTTGCCAAACGATTCTACCCATCCCTTTCTTCTTAATTAAATCTCCCTTTCTTCTTAATTACTCTAAAAAGGTGGTAAAATTTGTATATTTTTTGTGTTCTATGTGTACATATATACGTGTTTATTATACACAAATATAAAACATACATACATTGCTTTATATTGTTTGATAGTTCCAGTTCTGTTCAGGAGATATTTCGAAGGTCTTTACAGACCGTGTAAAGCTTTTACTGGCTCGTTGGGAATGTTCCAAGAAATAATTATAGCACGAATAGATGAGCTGGTATCAATGAATACCGATAATCTTAATTTGTCGAATAGTTTAAAACAGAAAGAAATAAAATTTATTTTGCCGATTAATTGTTGCTACCACAATTATTATGAATTTTTTCGTGAATTTCTTCGACTTATTTTGTATCTTACATAACGCATGCAAAATGTATTCTTTTATGCTATTTTTGATTCCGTAATATTTAGGTAATGATGTAAAAAGAATATCTTGTAATATTAATAAAGTAAGTTTTTTCTTTTTTTTTTAAATAAGTTTATTTGAGTTTCAGTATTTTATAATAATAATAATAATTGTTCAATTATTTAAAGTCAGTAAAAGCATATATTAGACCCATCAAGACACGCTGCACTATAATTTTCTCTCAGTTTCCACTACATGGTTGTATTTAGCGAAGTCATTTTGTTTAATCGTTTATTCGTTGCGCTTGAAACAGAATGACGATAGAAATTCGCATTTTCTTATGAAATGTGACTTTTTATGGCCATGTATATTTTTTATTCATTGTTCTGCCCCATTGATGTCTTATTTATGCGCACAGTTTATGTTCGTACGTTTTATATACCCGCATCTTCCCAGTCCATCGAATAACATACACGAATTTCTCTATAATTGATAGACTTGAAACACAGTACTTACACATACCTCACACAAAATAAAATACGTAGTTAAAATATATTATTACTGTTAAGTAGTTTCGAAACATAAGGATGAGTTTTACAGATTTTTGCCGTAATAGGACAAAAGAGAAAGAAAATTAAAAAAAAAACTAGAAAAAAAGGAACTTTGCGCGAATGCTTGTGATCTATGCGGACAATATGCAATAATAATTTCTGAACGCGTTAGCATGAGTATTCAACGTGTACAAAGTCTCGATCCCTTGCGTGTTAGATTTAATTCCACTGACCCTAAAGTGCATGCCATGATCCGCGAGCTATCTGTTCCCCTTCTTTCAATCATCAGGTCGGCTCTTAAGCATTGTATATCCTTTCTTTTCTCTCTTTTTTATTTTTTTTTTTCTCCCCTCCTTTTTGTTTTCTGTTCGCCAAATTATACCATTGGGCTCTTCTTTTGATTATAGATTGTATGTAAGAAAATACTGTGGCGTGTAATCGAACAAATGGTAATGGGATTGCTTGGGAAAAGAGTTAATTGACTATCCCCCTAATTTTATTCACACGAACTTCGTTTTCAAAGTTCTTTACTCATACACACTGTAGTGCCACAGATTAACACAGACTGTCGTATGATCTCGTTTGCTACAGTGTACATGTTACGATGAAAGTATCCAATTTAGTAATTATAACAGATAATACCACGAATATAAAAATCTTTTACGATATCATAGAATTATTCTAGTTGCATTTGCAGTTGTTCGACAGATAGGTGTCTAGATCTCTGTATATAACGAACAATAAAATTCTAACAGTAATTTCAATATCAGAATATTGAAATTACTGTTAGAATTTTATTAAAGATTGCGAAATTAAACCCTTAAAGATTGCGAATGAAAATTCATTTGACGTGATAGCGTTCAGTAAAAATTTTATACACGATAGTCCTTAACTTGAGTTAATGATTACCTATACACTCTAAAATTACTAATAATATTATTTGGTAAATTACCAAGCGGATCAGATTCTCTGAAATAAATAGAGAATGGGAAAGAAGAATCGGAAGAATTAATTGCTTTCACGGTAACATGTATTATCTTGTGCGTGTGTATAATCATCTCTGGGCGAACCAGAAGTAACGTATTTTTGGCTTGGATAAACCTCAGGCTTACATTAGACGCGACAAGCGAATTAACTTTGCAAACTCACGTCTGTCTTTCTCTGTGTCATTCGGTTCTCAATCGATTGAAGAATATGTCCGCGGAACTGTCGTTATTTCTCTTCTCTGTTTAGAAATCCCGCGGAGATGTCGCACACGTGCCGCGGCACGATATCCTTGCATGGGGCCTTAATACACACCGTGGACGCTTGCACGTTCGTTGTGAGCAACGGTGGCACGCAAACCTTCCATATCAAGGCAGCGACAGAGGTAGAACGTCAGCAATGGGTCACGGCCCTCGAGTTGGCGAAGGCCAAGGCCATCCAGGCGATGGAATCTGGTTTGTATCAACCAACATTTTCTATCACATGTTCGTCACCGAAAGAAAGAATTAATCGTCGTTCCTTATTGATTACATAATGATACAATATGACTGTCATGATTATATCTCGTTGGAGGGATGCTGGTTCATCTCCATTAGCATCGCTTGTACTAGGTTTCTCCAAAATTTCACGAAGAGAGGAGATTCGAAGAAGAGAAGGTCAATTGATTGATAAAAGAATTTCGTTTTCAAATTTCATTGGATCTTTAATTTGAGATGGTCGTATTTGTCAGACTGATTGAGCAGTAGGTGGCTTTTGTTATGAACATTAGATTTGCAGACGGTATTAGTTAGTCGTAAATCATGCTAATAATTTAATAATACATATGTAGCTAAGTCAGCAAGTAAGACGGTATAATGTCTTCAGTGGATGGTACTCGATTTTGATTTAACATCATCTGAGATTGATTCTTTCTCACTAAGCAACTGATTCTGAGCAGGAATCAATTGCTATCTAAAGAATCAATAAATCTGTTAACAGTGAGCGGTATAAAATAGCATTAAAGGCAATCGTCTATAGTAACTTTGCTAATACTTACACAATTGACAGATCGTTACAATTTTTCATGAAGATTGATGATTTAAACGACACGAGATAGAATTATTTAACAACGTTAATCTCAATTCTAATATAGAGTTAGATTTTATATATATATGTAATTTCAATTTTTTTAGTTGTGTCTATAAAAATATAAATTTCTATAAGTATTCTCAGTGTACTAATAATGTAATAGTTTACTAATACGAACAATTTTAAAAGCATACCAGTTGGTTTCAGCATTGATATTGAATTATCGTTATCAGCGGAATACTCTTTGTATTTCATAATTTTGTCTTCTTAAATACTTCATTCTCCGTAATGAAGCATATCAATAAAAGATAACGCATAAGGAAGTCAGAATAGCAAGCAAAACGGGGCAAAAAAAAAAATACGTTTTGATCTATATTTATTACATGTTTTCTTTTATCGATCTTTATTCGTGCACAGTATTTTATTTATATTGATAAATAACGCACACGAATATTGATATGCTTATTCTCATGAACGTGTTTGTCTATCTTTGACCTGTGATTCAAGAGAATTATTTTGACTCAGCAATTTTAAACAAAAAATGATATTGAATCATACGTAACTGTAGAATACCATATTGAATCAGTTACATTATCTATCCTTTCTTAGAGTATTGTAGACAATGCAAGACTTCTTGTCTTCGATAAAATATGAGTTAAATAATAATTAAATCGTTTGTAGAAAACATTAAAGCAGTTACGTTATGTAAAGTAAAATTTGTTTCAGAAGAAGAGGAGGAAGAGTTTCAGGATAACGACAGTCAAAAGCCAGAACAGGTTACTGTGAAGGATTTATCACAGCGTTTAGAAAACTTGCAGGCTTGTAATGATTTGCTAATGAAAAAAGGGACTATGCTTCAGCGAGTTTTAAACGAGCTTGAAGCATTGGAACCACCATCGCCGGAGCTAGCCGCAAAAATAAAGACAGTTAGTGAACGAGCCACGCTCTTTCGCATCGCGGCCGGTGCTATGGTTAATGTAAGTTGAAAGGCCATCGTTAAGACTAATATACACATGAAAATTTGTGGCCAACGATGTATAAAATTACTTCATTCGCTGCACAACAATGTTATTCTAACGCTAACTCTAAAAATCCCCTCTTTATGGATTAAACAATATTTCTAAGCAATTTTTCACAGCTCACAGCCAGGTATTCATTTTTATTTCTATTCAATTTGCAAAATTATATAATAACATATTGTAAAAATATTGATTTTGAAGATGTACGTGTATACTTACTAGACCTAATTCTGATTTCAGGCAAGTAACGAATATTTGCAATTAGCAGAGCAGCAAGAACCGAAATGGAAAAAAATGCTGCAACATGAGCGCGACCAGAAAGTAAGAATAGAAAAAATGGTTGAGCAATTGGCCAGGCAGCACTCTCACTTGGAAGAGGCTGCACAACATGCCTTACCTACGGCAGTTACAGCAGGAGGACACAGAGCTTCGCGTAATAATTCCTCTTTTTTATATTAATGCAATTGGTAATGCTGTGATTAATTTTGATGCAACTGTTAAGTAATTGCTGTGTATATGACGATGAGAAAGACGGACTCGAGTGTTCGTTCATTATTCACGCTGTGCCGAACTTTTTACCTTCATATACTTTGCTCTAATTGTGCTATAGGCGTTTTAACTCTGTAAGTGACCTGTAATAGAAATGTATGCTAAATACATATGTGTATGTCTGCCGAGCGAGGGATGCCGTATTCATCAGGTGATAGTGCACAGCCGCCATAATTTTGCCCCACTTTATACACTGCTTGTTGATATACTACTTTACTGTATAGCACATAGATTTGAGTTTTCGCGCCTTTGCATGCCTTGTCGTTTCCTAACCAGATGGCAGTTGTGAAACTTAATTTGAATGGTGTCGCGACTTACGTAGCTTAAAGTCTATGCATACATGACGTGCAATATATTCTATATTGTATGGCATATTACAGCAATGTATATAGGGCTTATATATACATACATGCATGTGCTTTCATTTCTCCCAAGTTTAGTGCTTAATCAGACTCAGATGGCCTTGCAAATTTCCGTTTCGTGTGAATATTTTTTTGACAGTTCCTTTTCGCAACTCTACCATTAAATTCGATGTGATAAAACTGAATCGAGCGTCGAAATTCTCGACGATTGTGCTTGATGCTGATAAATGGAAAGATGCTAAACTGATTAAACGGGGTGAAGGGGAGAAGTTTGTCACCAGCGAGTTTATAACGGTCCGCAGCTTCAATCAAATTTATAGCAAGGGCCGAAATACGTGAGAGCGCCAAATCTGTCGTCGAATGTAGCATAACCTAATGAGTGATACATTGTAATTGTCTGTAAAAAAAAAATCACACTGTACGAGCATCTTTAGTGAATCATTTATTCGTTATTTTAACCAATACTGCAGGTGTGGACCGTAATTGGAGGGGATAGAGGACGGTACAACTTAA